ACAGTGGGATTAATTTCAGCAGCTCTGCACCCATTTTAATACCGAGAATGTTATATCATTGGCGTGTTACTCCCAGAGGAGAGAATATATTCGTAGAGCCAATTGCTGCCTGCTCAGCAGTTATACTAATTTGGGTAGGCAGGAATAGGAGCACCTTGTTTCCCGCACTCGATCCAGCATTGTAGTGCGCAGAACTACAGTGTAGCCCGAAAATAGCCTTCAGGGTCGAATAATTCAGAATGTATAGATTGATGTAGTAAATAGACACAGCATGACAGTTTGCTTTGCAGTTAGTGTAACGTTTTGGGGGGTGCCAAGAGGGAGACACGCTGTACTGCACACCACGGCAGCGTAGGGATGGAGAAACGTCATGGCGCAGACTGGCGTATCTCTTTGGAAACTGGCCCTAGAAGGACATTTTCAACTTTCCTAATTTTTAAACGGCGCCTTCGCTTAGTAGCGAATGGTAGGGGTAGGATCCTATGCGGCCAGAATGAGAGAGATAACACGGGAGCCAAGATGGGCATTGCTCACTACAAGCATACAAACCGGCTGGCCACTCTTTCAGCAAACTCGCCCCGTGTAAAGTGATGATTAACTGAATTGTCTTGATCAGAGGGCAGTAACACTTCTGGCGTTTCGTCTTCGCTGTTTCACCCTCCATCACAGCATATCCAGCAGTATTGCTATCAAGAGCAGTGCGGTATCCAAGGTTGTGAGTGATAGTAAAAGGCCTACGCGGACTTCAAGCGCTTTTCCGTTGTACTTCCAATATTGCTAAACGCAGCGCGCAGCAGCAAGCGTTTCGCTGCTATCAATTAACTCTCCAAATTAAAATGCCATCGCTGCGGCTCACTTAAGCTGACTGAGCACATTCGCACAGTTTTTTATTGTTTGTCGCATGCTCCCACCTATTTCCTCCAAGTATTCCAGCTCTTTTCGTTCCGTATTTCCACCAGCATAACTTAAGTCCGCACGCAAGAGTTTCGGCTGCGAATGCATCAACTGACCAACGAAGTGGTGTTCGGAATGTGACTTTGCGTTTGCACGCTTATTTGCCTGCTTACTCAACATGCGTGCATCGGTGCAACACCGCAATACAAGCGATCCTACGAGCAGAAACACGCGTCCAGATACACACAAAAGTAGTCTCATAGCCGTAATAATGAGGAAAATAATGGCTGTAGGAATAACATAATAAAGAAATCGCAAAGCACAAAAAAAGAAGACAACTGAATTAAAAAACTGACGAAAACCAAGTAAAATATAGTGCGCTAAGTAGTTCGCTAATGGTGCCAATGTTTTCACATGCGAGCTTACACGGAGCAGGAAGTGAGGCAGGCTAAAACTCCCTGCATAAAAAAATGGGTTAAATGCGGGGAAAAGAGGAGCTTAAGGAAGGGAAAAAGGCTAGAAGTGCGTGCATCATTAATAGCAGGTCATTGAGACCGCTGGAAATATCTCACAAGAGCACCAGTTGCAGTGACAGACGCAGCAGCTTCAGACCGACAACAGCAATAGCAGCAAGACAAGATACAGACACATAAGCAGCAGCTACAGCAAAAATGGCACCAGCGAGAGCAGCTGCAAGGTAGCATATGCGGCCCCAATCGACAGCTACAGATGTTGCAGCAGAAATAACACCACCAAAAATGCTCCCGACTGTATCCGCAGCAGCCAAAACGAAAGTGACAACAGCAAGTGCAGCCAGCTGATACTGCAGAAATCGCAGCAACAACTACAACGCCCGCAACAAGCGTGATCACAAACGCAATAGCAAATCCACAAACAGCAAAAGCTGCATCGGCTGAAGCAGCAACAACGGTAATACCAATAGCTGCAGCAGCCACGACAACAATAACCGCAACTCTACAGCGGCAAAAGCACCTGCGGTAGTGGTAACAGCAACCGCAGAAGCAGACTTTACGTAGTTGACAGTATTACTAAACTTAGCTTCCTCTGTATGGCAGCCAGTGTGATGCAGCTCCAAAAGGAATACCATTTGGTACCCACAAACAAAAAATAAAAGCCAGAGGCAGATTTTTATGCTGAAGAAACTAAGGGGAAAATACGGACAAAAAATGGCAAGTACCGGCTCGCGAGGACGCAGCGGAATAATAAAGGGAGGGAGGAACTTGTAGTGCTGTGCACTGCATTGCAACCACAAAGTTGTCTTTTGTTTTGACAGAAATCAAAAGAATTACGATGATACAAACTAACAATTCTATGTGCAGATGGCAGAGCCTTACCCTCTGTTGCGATTCCAGGCTTTGGTGTTGGCAGTGACTCTGCAGTGGGTGGAGCCCCGTGCACGCCGAGAGGTTGTGCACTGTAAACACAATCCAGTTCTATTCTGAACACTCATCCGAACCCTTGGCCTCTTGAAAATATTAACAGCATGCACAGATGTCATAATCTCCGAATTGTAGGCACATCGCTGGAGACTTGTTCTATTATGGCCATGCACAGATATCATAATCTCCCAACTGTAGGCAAATCACTCGAGACGTATTGTATCTACTGTTGTTCGCTACTGAGCAAAGCGTAACTACCAGTCAGAGCTTGGAGTGCGACACTTTTGCGCGTCATACAGCTTTACTAACCGAGATCGCATATGATATATCCTGTTTTATGCCAATCGTGGATATGCTTTTTCCACATCAACGTGCTCATTATTTAGGTCTAAAGATACTACTTCGTGCACTAATGCCACATGCAGCGCTGTGTCCTGGAAATGACGATCAAACCACGGACAACGCCAAAAGATTGGCACCGAATTGTGCTTAAAGCCTTCTGCTTCGCACTTGAGCTCTACTGATTGCCAGATGGGCAGGGGCCTCGTGAACCCCTAGAATCTTGTTGTGCCACTGCGTTATTGTGGCTGGCATCCCTCTCCTCTCCTTGGCAGGCCTCTGCAATCCTAGGCAGGCACTTCTACAGAGAAATTCCTAGCTATTCCTAATTTTTGCCTGCTCTCTGTCTCAGGGGAGCCTAATCACTGCAAAAACACCCTTGTGGAATTATCGTCGTCAACATAACCCAAATAAAAAGCTGACTAATACGGAGCCCCGGGTGGCCGGCCAATGTCTTGTCTCCAAACGGATGCCCACCGTACACCACAGGCACCGCTCACAGCCTTGAGGGACAGATTTACCTGAATGGCGTCTTACCTGTACGGTGAAACGGTTGTCGGCGAGCACTCCCCAGTGTCTACATATTTAGCCTCGTTGTGACCGAGCACTCCCCAGTGTTTACACATTTAACTTCAAGTCAGGTCCACAGCACCAAAGCAGTTGCCCTAAGCCCCCCAAGATATCAGAAACTCCTATGTCCACGTATTTTTATCTACTGCCTTCGAACAGTGAGCCACAAGAAAGCCCTAGAAGTCCCTCCTCCTATTCTCTCCGTAGCTTCCCTTTCTCCCACCTAACCTCACCCGTCAGCGTAAGGAACAGTGTAGGAAGGGAGCCCTATGGGACGCAGTGCCACAATCCTGAAGTGCCACCCGCTTTTCTTCAAAGCGCAGCATAGACTTCACACTGCAACCACATTGTCAGCCTCTCCCCGACGAAGTCACACCGCCCGACGCCTCAAATCCCCTACGTGCAGCCATGAGCAAAACGACTAAGGGTTTGCAGTGTAGCTATGCTCAAGTTACACCTTCTGAAACTAAGTTACCACGCACGAGACCTGTCACAACGGATCTCAAGAGACATTGTGGGGAAGTACGCACAATCCAGTTGCCCCGTATGGTAATCACTTCGCACACACTAGCGGTGCACGCAAAAATGGTACAATAAAATTCCCTATTACTCTCTAATATGCAGAATCACTGAATGGGTTGGAAGGTGGAAATCTTCACATTCACTGGAATGTCGGCCTCTGTTGCAGCGAACGGATGCTGGGGGCCTCTGCAGCCCCCCCTCCCTTGGGCAAAGCAGCGTGTTAAACAACCGCCACCTCGGGAATCCCTGCTACCGCTGAAATATCTGGATCTCTGCAGCAGCGAATTTGAGGCGTAGCTGATTTACAGTGTGCAAATTCGTGTACTTAGTGTTAGTTTGTCGCGTTGAGACATGCAGGAGTGAGGGGCAATGAATGCGGCTGGAAGGGTGTCGGTGTTGCTGCACAGGGTCAAGGCCCAAACTCAACAGGCTCCGGGCCACTGAGGCCTCTCAGCCAGCCCTTTTATGGGGTTCTATTTCAGCAGCAGTATAGCTGCTGCCAAGGAGAAGCTGTTGAGGTGTTTGCGAAGAGCCACTGTGCAGCCTCTTGGCGGTGTCTGCTGCTACGAGGAGGCCTTACAGCGGTGAATTCCCTGAAGGGAGCATAAGGGGCATTCTCTTTCCACTTATTTAATCACTCGTGGCTTCTTTGAGTTCCAGGAAATAAACATTGCGGCCAAAGCTCTTTCCTGCTCTCCCATTCTCCGCGTTGCGGTGGGAGGTAGAGTCCAAGCAGCGTGTTTCGGGATTTCCAGCTCGATTTTGGTGGAGTTTTGCCGGAATGTATCATTAGTTGACTCTTAAAAATTATATATGAGCTGCAAAGACATCATTTCAGGTAGAAGGGAAGGAAGGAGCTCCTGGTCTACTGGAAGGCGTGTCTAGACAGCTGGCTGTTCGTGTCTCCATCGACCGCCACCGAGAGTCTCCACCAGACAGCCATCACCGCAGGCGTTTGCCGCTTTTGGATGACATCATTCTCAATATATATGTTTTTGTTCCCTTCTTAAAACGCAAACCATAAGGTAGGTGGTACTGCATACGAAAACCTCTTATAGCGTCGGTGTCGTCTTGGGCTGGCTGTAGCTCTGAATACCATTTAGGGCAGGGCTTATTGAGGAGGTAGCCAGCTCTTGATGCGGAGCAAGTATGTAGCCATAACCACAGACTTGTTCCGTGTGCCTCCGGATGCTGATTGTGTGAGTGTTTTTCTATTATGTTTTCTCTCTGCAGCGAGAACAAACGTCTTAACTGTCTTCTCAAAATCTCGCAGTGATGGGTCGCCAATTCGACCAGCCCCTTCTGTGGCTGGATTGTGAAATGACCGGCCTAGACCCGCTTCACGACCGGATCTTGGAGGTTGCTTGCATTCTAACCGACGGAGAGCTCAAGTACATGCAAGAAGGGCCCTGCATGGTGCTGCATTGCCCTAAAGAAACACTCGAGGAAATGGGGTCTTGGTGCCGAGAGCAGCACGGAAATTCAGGCTTGACGGAGGCCTGTCTACGAGCGACGCTGACGGCAAAGGACGCGGAGCAGCGCATAATAGCTTTCTTGAAGCAGAACAGCGTGGGAGCGAAAGAGGCGGTTCTGGCTGGTAACTCCATTCACATGGACAAAGAGTTCTTGAGAAAGGAGATGCCAGCCCTTCTTGAATTTCTGCATTATCAAATCTTGGATGTCTCGAGCATCAAGATCCTGGCGCAGTCTTGGTTCCCTACGGTCGCTCCACCAAAGAAGCTCTATATGCACAGGGCACTTGACGACATCAAGGAAAGCATCCAGGAGCTCGTCTATTACCGCAATAAGATTTTCAAGTGAACAGCGCCCAGTTTGTCATTTTGCGCAGTACGCGTCTGAGCAGCTGAGTCAGGAAGTGGAAACGGAGCAGCGATGGAACAGTGCCTTTGACGGAAGACAGACCCCAAAAGAAGCAACTGATTCTGTGCCAGTGTTTCTCCCGTCTACGTGGAAGATGGCGATGCTGCACAGTGTCGCATTGCTTAATTTTTTTTTGGATGTTTCTTTTCCTTCATGTACTTCCACCTGCCACTCTGCACACACTGCGGTGCTGGACCACGCCCAAGTCTGTTAAAGGGATGCTGTGAATACAAGCACATGCCGCCTGGTCAGGTTTGCCATCACTACTGAGGTGAAGATATGCAACCACGGGGACAAGGTTCATCCAAACTTCCCATGGTAGTGGGAGCTCCCCCATGCACCCTCACGGAAGGCTCTTCTTGGGGTTCTGCTGGAGGTGGGAAGCAAAACTCTTGGGATTTCTGTGTGTCTTTCAACCAGTTCTTTGTCTTGCAAAAGCAACAAGCTTGTCGAAATATATTTTGCTGCGTAATAGTCCTATGCCTTCACGTTTTTCAACTCCGACGAGAGGCTGACCTTCGGGCCCGCTGGGAAATAGGTGCCCAAGAGCTCTGTCCTGGTGTGCCTACGCGGGCTTGTGGAGGGTCGACTGCTAATGTTTGGCTGTAAAGATGTCGCCTGCACTAAATTCTTACGTCTTCTGGTTTGACAACTAAATCGAGCGCATTTGTGGATGCCAGCTCTTGAGACAGGCGCTACGTATCGAACCACCGTGCTATCGGATAAGACAAAGAAGGCTCGCCTTCTATTAAGTTTTTCACATCCCTCTAGAGCTGACATGTGACAGCAGCAGCCAGGATAGTGACCGCTGTGCCGAAGCCAACATTAGCGAGAGGTAGCCTATTTAATTGACGAACTGTGTAGCTTCTAGTGGTCGTGGCAACTTCGCTGGGTGCTGTCGCTGCTTTTTCCGCCTCTTCCACTTCTGTTGAGCTACGGGGAGCAGACCCATCGAGGCCTCGACCTCTGCAGAATGTCCCCTTTTCTTGCTTACATTCCCCACAGTGGCGTCCTTGGCTACAGTGGGTGACGTGGAAGGCGCCTCCGGTGCGGTTGGAGCTACGGCCGCTGCAGAACCACTGATCCCTATTGCTGCTACTGCTGCCGCCACAATTTCTGGGTCTGGTGGCGGGGGCGGGTGAGCAGGGAGTAAATGAAGACCCGTGCTGACGACTTCATCAACCTGATGATGCTGTTTCTGCTCCACCTGTTCTGGTACCTGGACGTCCGGCATTTCTTGACAATGCAGCAGTCTGTTCATTTCCATTTGCTGCAACTGCCTGTATACCCAACGCGCAACTTGCCGCGCTTTGTGAGACGCGTTGCGGACCTGAGAAAACCAGTTGAAACGCAGCAACAACGGTGATTCACATTTCGTGCTGAAACCTAACTTGATGATGCTTCTGTTCACAGCTGCTCCTCACTCACACTGGCAGATTGCACCGATATACCCGATGCTGCTGAACCTGCAAAGTCATTTGGACAAAGCAGCACCCACACCAAGAGCACAAAAAAGATGAGAACGTGAGAGGAAGAGCTAGAATCTACTGTAGCAGAAGCACAAAGGAGAGTTGCGGTAGCAGCAATAGTCAAGGGTGGCAGGAGCAACAGCAACGGCAGCAGCGGAGGCCACTTACCGAAGTAGTTCTCCATATGACAAGATAAGACATCCGAGGAGATCCTAACCACCACTGAAGGTTTAGGGCCAGTCGAGCCGATCCGGAAGAGGCCTCCTATTTGCACCGGCGACTGTTGCTGTTGCTGAAGGCTGCTAGTGTTGGTGTCACTACGACTGCTGCTGCCAGGCGAGCTACTGCCATTGTTTTTGTCGAAGGCGTTGGGCTCTCCCTTATTGTCGGAGGCTCCTGCTGGTGCATCCACAGAGGCCTCCGGTGCATCAAATGCGGCAAGCAGTTGCTGCTGTGCAGTCACAGCATTTCTAAGCACTTCAGCAGATGGCAGCAAATCATCCGTATCGTCGAGCATCGGCTCTGGCTGATCTGGCTGTTTCTGCTCCTGCGGCTGAGTCTGTTGCTGCTTGCTCTCCGCTTCAGCCTCCTGATGAGCGTCTACTGGAGGAGATGGTTGCGTTGCTGCTTTCTGTAGACCGTCCTGTGGAGACATTTTCGAGAGCAGCAGTAGCAGCACAATCCCTCAATGCTTTTCATGCGCCATACAGCAATACGACTTAGAAATTGGAGAGGCTAGGTTTCCAAAGTACAGATGGCAGCCTACATGAATGGCTTTCAAAATATCCCCGCTGTACCGGCGGACAGCCGGCGGTGTTGGGCGGATGGCGCTTCGAAGCTGCATGTGATCTAGCGGTCTCTGCAGCACCACCAACAATCAGAACAAAGCCAGTGATTACTATTAGGGGAATACTAAATGCAAGGACACAAAGGAGAAGGTCTAGCCGCGGAAGCAATAAATAAAATTGGCGTTGGGGACAGCAGCTGGCGCCAATGTATTTGTCCTGCGACGCAAGCAGCCACTGCCGTTGCGGTAACAGCTTTTGGTGCTTTGATGCCCTCTTTTAAATAACTTCTCACTCTTTGCGCCAAAAGCAAGATGCAAGCATTTGCGAGGACTGCGTGGGGGCTGACGTCCCTTTTCCGGGCAACAGAATCTCTCCACGCGAGAAGCCCCTTCTGCAGAGAAAAAAGATAGTCAAACCAATGTACATAAAGTTCAGCAACGGCAGCAAGCGCATGATGGCACAAGCAGCAGCAATACTCCAATGATACAGTCATGCGCCACCAACGAATAAGTCCCACAAATAAGCACAAGCGGGGTGCGGCGTGTAGCCGAAAGCTAGCCACATACGTTAATGATGGATTTGGAACGGGGAGAGTAGCAATAAGAGCAATGCAAATAGAAGAATCAGCAAGCCTTACGAGAGCCGCAAATGATAAAGGTGCAAGCGCGACGTTATTCCTTTTGAGGAGCTGAGTGGCTTCCTTCTCCTCATCAAACGGTCCCTCGGTGTACAGGGAGAGACAGATATCTCTACTGCGTTCCATCACTCCCAGAACTGCAGCCTTGCCCGACTGCATGCAGAGGCATGCATACGACAATGAAGGAATTGGCATGCTGCTGGTGCCGTTAATCGTGCTGCTTTTGTGCGACGCTGCAGCTAACTCTGGATCTTGCCAACTTCGGTGTTGCTGCACTCTGCAGCAACACCAGTAGCATCATGCAGTGGCCTGTCCTATTGCATTTAAGGTGTTTAAGGCGCATACTCCAGTGGGGGTGCCTAGCTCCGCAGGCGTTGTGCAGCTCAGATTGAACATTCCCGTCCTGCAACAGCACCCACAGCAGCAGTCGCACTAGCAAGTATTCACATTGACGACTTCCCGAAGGATCGACCAAATATGAAGTAAAATGCGGCCATTCGATCTCGAAGTCTGTGACAAGATCTTGACGTTACGGTATTCCAGCTTGCTAAAAACACGACTAGCAGAAACACACGCAGCGGCTGCACGTACTGGTCGTCCCTGGCGAGAAGTTGGTTCTGCATGCACTGGTAAATGTAAGGCAGATAGTGTGTGTCCGACCGGCCGTAGCTCTTCATTTCCTTGGTAAGGGGCCTAGACAGCAAAGAAAGCAGAAGCAGAAAAAACAAGAACTCCACAGCTGCACAGAGAAATGTCGGACAAAACGTGACCCCGGGCAGGAGCAACAGTAGGATTCACTGCATACGTAACAGGACGGCCTGAGCACTACAGGAAGTGCTTGATTTGAATACAAGCGTCGAGATGTAGGACTCACCTGACTCTCCAGTCCGCTAGTTGCATTTTCCTGTCCTTCTGCTTCTTTAAGTAAAAACTTAGAAGATTTGCGAGAGAAGCTCCACCAGGGATCGCCAAAGTTCTAGCTGCCACGGCCGTGTCGAATACATTAACCAAGTAAACGGAAAAGTCACGCTGCGACAAACAAAAGGTGACGAGAAGAGTCAAAGCCTCCGCATAACAGACAGAAAAAAGACAATTTAGCATGCACAGAGTATTTAGCATGCGCAAAGGGCAGGAAAGCCTGCACGTCAATACGCACGGGAAATGTAATTCGGCACGCGTCCGCCAAAGTGGCAGAGGTTGCAGTGCCGCATGTCTATGAAGCAAAGATACACAGGGACACCAGAACAGCATGCACGGGGCATATGAAGGGAAAATGGCTGTCAGGGTCAAGCCACGACAATGTCACGAGAAGATCTCTCCACCGCAGATGCCGACAGGTTCGACAAAATGGTGGGAGCGCTGCGATGCAGGAGGGATAGCCAAAAATTACGCAGACAACGCTTAAAAGCGAGCTGTGTAACTCGCTTTATGAAATAGTGAAAAGCTCGATGCACCTGCAGCCATATGACGTCACTTGCTGAGCCGTGAAGGATTTTGAGAATTTTGGGGTTCGCGGTGAGCTCATTCAAGGCAGTCAAGTGAACAAAAAGAGAAAATGGGTCGACAAGGAAATCCTTAGCCGCTCCTGCGCTTCCGCATGTGGAAAGCTGAATCAAGCATATAAAACCTTTGTAGCTCTCGTAGGAGTGGTGCTCCGTGTCAATGGCTACCACCTTATGGCGCCCTAGAAAGCAAAATCGCATTGGCACAACACCAGCAACAATATGATGCGCACAATGGACTAGGCGCAAACAGCCCACGGCAGCTGCGACACGTCTGCCAAAGACATATACGCAAGACAGGCACAACAGAACAAACATACTAGAAATTCACGTACGGCAGCTGCAGCACCTTACAGCCGACAACGCAGCAGCTTACCGCTACAAAGCTCGTCTAGCATCTCCCGAAGTTGCTGTGGCGTTTCCACAAAAACCAACGGAGTTTCCTCGACAGGTGAAGGTAGAGTAGCCTCTTTCAAGGTGAAAAGTTCTACTCAGAAACGGCAAAAGAAGTCAAACAAAGCACATGGAGAACACCAAATGTTGGCAATTTACTGTCAGCCCAGCGTTGCTGAAGGTGGCGTCTTCGCCTCATGAGGCGCCTGAATACGAAGTGCTTTCCGCAGCAGCTCCAACAGCAGAAGAACTGTTAAGCATCCTATCGCTGATATTTAATAAGAGCGTCAACACACCTGAATATACACCCGACTGTTGCTTGTCTCCCTCTGCAAGCCACACTAGATCCTTCAGTTCGCCCTCATACGGATGTGGCAACGGTTCAGTGCTTTCTGCGCTTTGCGCCTCATCTTCTTCTTTCTGTAGAGTTATCAGGTCCTCCTCATGCTGCCTGAGCTGCTCCAGCAGCTGCTGCTTCTGCTGGCCCGATGCAGTCTCGGCAGCAGCAGCAGTAGAGACCGTGTCCTCCAGCAAGTCCCTCCGCCTCTCCAGCCAAAGAGCTCTCTCCTTCTGAGCATCCACTGTAGCTGGAGTCAAAGGGTACTTTTTGTGGGGCTTCTCGTGAAGGCGAGGCACAAATTTTCTGCTGTCGTTGTTGATAAGGTATGCCCACTGACTCTGAGGGCGGCCCTCCAGCACCGAGAAAATGGAAGGCAGACTTATAACGCGTCCATCACGTCCCAGCACTGCAGATTTCTCATTTGCTTCTGCTGTCTCTCGAGTCTGCTGTTGCTGCAGCTGCTCCTGCTGCCGCTTCTCTGGCTGCCCCCCGTGCTGCTGTGAAGGCAGCTGCGCACGAATTCTCGTTTGGGGACTGCGTCTGTGTGCCTCCAAACACAGATCAACTGCCTCAAGCAGCTCATCCAATAAACCCTGGATGCCAACACCAACACCTTCGTGAATTTGCTGCCCATGCTCCTGCAGCAGTATGCTGGTGCTAGTGCTGCTGCCTTTACCGGTGTTGCTTGTCGAGTCAGAAGGCCCAGCTAGTAAACGGTGAAGCTCCTCCGCCTTCTTCAGTACACTAAGATTGGAACTTTTCCCTGAGCAGCCTACAGCGATATCTAAGAGGATTTTGAGGGTGTCTGCTGCTGCTGCCTCTGCTGCTTTTCTCGCGTTGCTGCTTGTCGATGTCCTGATGGTGTAGTCATCACCCCCAGGGATTCTCTGTGCAGCAGCAGCTACACCCGCTACCTGGTGTAGCAAACTCTTGAGGCTGTTCGGGCGTGGAGTAACATCGTTAGTTGGATCGACTTCCACTGCTGTTGCTTCTGCAGCAGCTTCTGAGCTTTGTGGGTCCTGGCTCCCCCTTGAGTCATGAAGCAGCGCCTCCGTCCTCTGACAGAGGTACGCATCTACAGTGGAAAGACAGAAGTTCATTGTGGGAAGATGCTATGACTGTCCCCCCAACTCAGTACATAGTTGGGTGTGGGGCCCCCCAGAGTGGGACCGCAGAAGGCTCTTGCTGCACCTTTGCTTGGTAAAATATGGAAACAAAGGCGATTGAAAAACAAATGCAAATGAAACAAAAGAAGACAGGAGCATGTTTCTAAAAAATTGAAGGCTCCAAGGGCCCCCGGGCGCCCGCTCCTTCAAAGTTTCACTAATGACTCCTGCATAGCCCTTGGGTTGCCATACGCCCAGTTGAGAGGAACAAATATATAAAGAAGAACAGTAGAGAATGGCAGATCCCGAAAAGGCGCACAATTAGGTTTCCAGTACATGCAATTTGGGGCTGCGAGGCGGCTAGCGCGGAGCAGATTTCCTCGTTTGTGTTTACGCACGAAAACGAAAGGCGAGCCATTAACTTACGTTTAAATGCATCCAAATACTCAAACCTCTTGTTTGAGCGCTGTACAACTGTGGACGCGAGAGTACACTGACGCATTGCCGTGATCGTTGACGAGTGACCTATGGCGACCTTAGGCTCTATTCTTCAGGCTGACAAACTGAGCAGAAATCGGCAAGCAAATATTTAGACTTTCTTCCAGATGAGGCATGACATTTTTAGGCCACTACAACGGGCCACCAGAGTAGAACAGCGCTGTAACAGTTGCATAGGATATTGCGTCGATTTCCGTGAAGCTCCCCGTTGCTTCCCAGTGCACCCGGCGCCTTATCTATCCGTCATTCTACTTTTTTTAGACGCAATGAAGAGCTAGACTTGTCCGGTGACCATTCGGCGATCATGCATACGTTCATGCTGTCATTAGACGCACAAGGAACGATCACGAACGGCGGGAAGAGGAGTCTATGAGTAAACTGAAGCTTCCCAAGTTTACCAGGCTCAGGAGTACCCAATACAAGTAGGCAGTTCGGCGCCTCCGACATATTTTTGGAGTAAAAGCAGATCCGTGGTACTGGACAGCGCGGGCGTTTTGCTCTACCCAACAGGCGCGTTTGGCCTACGTCTTCACTTTCGAGCAACGCACTGTAGCTGTGCGTGCGCGTCAGACAATGGCACGAAAGAAACTATAGTTGTAGTGCTCCGGTGACTGGCTCTACGCAAAACGGGGAAATCATTCTTCCGTACAAGATAGCAAATGCGGTGCCAAACAGATCTTGGGCAGATTCAGTTGCAAAACATGCTGAAACAAAGAATTAGCTTCAGCGCCCTCTCAATATGTGCGCCATGGTACAAGTTTTTATAAAATATCCCCCTGAGGCGTCTCGCTTAGGAGCAAACCTTTTCAGAATGGCACGCTGCCTGTATAAGCACAGCGAGGATGCGAGACGGCATGAGCCGGGCAAGCCAAACACTGAATTCTCAGCGACGGAGTACGGTAACAGAAAAAGCCCTGGCTTGAAGACGTGTTCGTACAAAGTAGAATTCACGCTCTAGGGAGCATTTTGGCGTTTTATTACAGGAGTGAAAATGCAAGACAAGCGAAATCTGTGGAATCGTTTGCGTCTTCTGGTCCAAGAAGTACCCAGCGATTCACAAGTGTTTTTTTGACCGAAGCAGTAGCTGAAGCATTCTCGCGTATGAGGTCTTCTAATTCTGTCAGTCTTTGTGTAACTCCCTCATATGTCCACTGGTACATCCAGGTGGAAATGATTTCTTCTGGGATTTCTTGTGCCTTGTGTATCCGGCTGAAGCTCGAAAGCAAAGATGCGAAGAAAGAAACAGGGAAGAAAGGCCTCCGCTGCTCTGAAAAGAGCGCACCGGTCTTGGCAAGCTCCTCAATGGGCCTCTGGGGACCGCACGGCAATGCTGTGCCCGTGATAAGTAAGAGCTCGTGAAAAACTTGATGCACTTTTGCATCCATCTCCAACTGGAGCTCATGCATTTGGATTGAGTTTGCCAGAGAGTGAGCCAGCGCCTTCGGTACTGCTTCATCCGTAGCAGACGCTTCTCCGCAACCTGCACTGGCTGCCTTTTCTGGTTCAAGCAGATTCATGAAGCCCCTGAAACTCAAGAGCCCGCCGCCCGAAGTTGTCCAGGTTCCTCCAGGGAAAAATGGATTTCGTACACTGAGGCGGCTTTCGTCGCTCCTATGCGCCTTCGCCAAGAATTCTTCAAGCTGCTTTAGACACACAAGACGAGCCTCCGCTGCTTTTATGACCACCCACGCAATTTGTAGCATCTGCGCGTACTGCCCTTGTTGTTCTGGTGTCGCCCGCTTGCCTGGTCGGTTCTTTTGAAGCAGCCAAGACACTTGGCGCTCAAATAAATTCAAAGGGCTTGTGGTTGGAGACGACCCCTGCACTTTGGGAGTGTAATGAGCGTGAAATGATTGCCTCGTGGCGGGAGAAGCTGTTTCCCATAGCCGCTTGAAACCTTCAACCTGATCCTGCAGGGCCTCTTCGAACATTTTTACCTCTTCAGGGTTTGACGTTAGGAGCGGGCCTTTGAGTTGGGCCGTCTTCTTAAGGGCTCGTCGGCTGGCAATAGTGAGCACTGCCAGCAACACAGCCACGAATGCAGCGCTCCATATGAGAGCCCTTCTTTTCGGCTTTCTTCTGGGAACTTCACTTTCATTTGTTTGGTTCTTTGTCCCTAAAGATGTTGCGTCCGTTAGGCCTAGCTGCTGTTCCTCTATATCCGCGAGAGCATCGGGGATGGAGGCACAAGGCAGAGGAGGCGGGTCGCAGCAATCCTGTGGTTCGGATACAACATCAGTTTGGCCAGCGTGTACGGACTGTTCCTTTTTCTCCTGGGAAGCACTTCTTACAGCTGTGTCCGCCTCCGTCTCGCGAGCTTCTCGCTCCTCTACTGCCTCGTACATCTGGCCTGTACCAATGTGCTGCTCTAGAAGGAAGATGATGTCCAGCCCTCGATTGCAGCTCCTGCTTTGTGAAGCGGGGGCGGGTAAAATGGCGGATTATGATGCCCGTGAAATGAAACTTAAAAAAGACAGCGAATTTCTTTGGTTGCTCTTGTGTTGTTCGTGTGTCTGTAAATTACGACCCAAACGGGCCAACACACATTAAACCACAAACACCTGAGCCTCGAAACTCAATTTAATAAGTCCTGGGATTCAGTATCATTGGTTTAGGTGTGATGCAAGAAGAAGGTCAGGGGGCTTCCTGCTCGTGTTAACAAAAGAACACCCACGGCACTGCGTGGCAGCGGGGACTGTTTGGGGAACGATCCGATCCACTAACTGGCTTCTGCCGAGTGATTTGATTGGTATTCAGTTTTCGTTTTGATAGAAATCCATAAAAATGGGTGTGGATCGGGCAGAAATGCAAGTTTCGTGCAATTTTTCTTTTCGGGGGGTCGTCCTAGCCTCGATCGGCGCACAGCCGACGCCAAACGGCAGCTCCTCACTAATTAACCCATTGTTTCCGTTGGTCTTCTTGCAAGGCTTAATTCTGTCTGACACGCCGCGCCAAGCGTTAATTTTTTCTTATAATGCGTAAAACCAGGGCGCCTGAAGCTCTCGTAAATTCTTCTGACGATCTGAAGTGAATTCACCGGCGCATGCTGGTACGGTGAGAACGGGCCATGTTTGATGATGGTATATGGTGGGTTCTTCAGTATATAGTAGCTTTGGATCTGTATTGCGGGGTCCCATATGCAGGTTACAAGATTTTAGTGTATAGAGTGCTCTAGCCTACGTGCAGCAAAGCAGCGAAGTCAGCCAAATTTTGAAATATTGATGGGAAAATGAATAGGCGCCGGCAGCAAACAACGCAATGGGCAACACTTTTGGATTCTGTTAAGGCCTAGCTGTTGCAGGATAACGCGGGTGTGGTCATGCCGCCAGAGGCCCAAGTGCCCACATAGCGGCGCTTAGTGGTATTACGAACATGCATGGTCATCCAGCCGATTAAATACTCCTAAAGGCGTCGTAGGGTATGCGTTCTAATTCCGTTTTTGTAGAAATGGGTGCCGCTGATTCTGAGATCAACAAACGGGCGCGCAGTGTCCTCAAAGTCAGAACACACGAACGTGCGGCAGTAGTTATCAGTACCGAGAAAATACTGTACCTTTGCTTCATTATTTATTAGCTCTGGCCACGCCCGAATAAGGGCCTGCTTCTTGGCTCCAAGCTAGACATCTTATGAGCTCATGGTAGAACGGAGGCATGTGAACTCCTCTTTAGAAAACATGCGATGCGTGAGATAGAATCGATGATTGAGGGAAATACTGAGAAACTGCCGCAGAGGTGTAACATGTGTGAGGAAATTAGCGCTATTGATCAGAACATTGCCACGATAGTGACACCCTGGTCAAGCAAAGGATGGTGAGAAGTTGCTTGGAAGGTAGCGGGAAATCCCCTAGCCCCAAAAGGCATAACCTTTTACTTGAATATTTCCAAAATTTGGAGGAATACGCTCTTCTGCCGGTTTGGTCTGGCCATACAAATTGGAGGAGAGCCAGCTCCGACACCTAGCGTATAAAATTTTGTAGCCACCCAGCATTTCTACAATAGCGTGAGTAGGGGTAAAGGGAGAGTTGGGTGCAATCGTAAAGCCATTTCTATGCATGGTAGTTGATGGGCGTACATATTTTCCTGAATCGCTTTTGTGCCTATTAAGCATGACTGTCGGCGTGCCCGTAGGAGAATAAGCCGGGCCTATTCATCTACCTCTTGGCAATGTCGCTATTTATTGATGTGCAATATGACCTGGCATTGAGTAGGTTGGGGTCTTTGTCGCAAGCTTGCCTGGCACAAATAGCACGTGTTAGCTAAGCGGGTGTTTTGGTGGCAACCTTGCGGATTAACTTCCAGAGAACAATGCTATGTCCTATTTTAGCAGCTCTTGTATCTACAGAGGCAATTTCTGGGCTCCGTCCTGCCGTACCTAGTTGCGCGCGGCTGTGGGCCAAGGCGGCTCTTCCTTTCCATCATCGTCTTGTGGGTAGGCCGTATCTGGGTTGCTGGGCTGGGCTATGCGGGTCAGACAGCATTTCTCTGCTGCGTGGGAGAATGGTCTTTGACGCTCCTTACGTACTTGTGCTGCACGTGGTAGATATGCCGCGTTAGCCTGAGTCTCATGGAGTAGCTCTTTTATAAGAAACCTGAGCTTCGCTTTGCTGCGTGCCTTGTAGGTACCACGCAAACGATATGTAACCACTGTGCACTGCTAACAGTGAAACAGCAGGGCCGTGCCGTGCATGCCTTAACAATCAGGGAGAAACATCCAAGGAAGACAGGTGTACCCCAACAGAAAAGCACATAGTAGTGCTGCGTCGATTATTGGTTGTTTAATGATAGACATGAATTCATGTAGCCAAACCAGGAGAAACGCATACGAACCGAGCTGAGCTTGGCTCACTACAACCTAGAGGCTGCTCCTGGATCATCTTTTACAGCCCATCAGCACAATTCGTGAAAATTTTATCTTTTTTGTGCTCTGGGGCCACCAGCGTCAAGCGTTTGGAATGAGCTCGCTAGAAATGCTCCTGCGGAACAGGGATATGGTAAATGCACATAACCAAATGCCTTCCAGAATTGCAGCTTTATTGCCTCTTGCTAACTCCAAGCCGTGTGCATAGGTACAGAACACACCAGGCTTCGTCGTCAGAGTGTCTAGTCCCTTTGAATGTTTATGGCCTCTATTTGGTATGTCAATGTATATGTTATGAAACGTATTACTCTGAAGGTCATTTTTGGGCTACACTGTAGTGCTGCGGACTAAAACGGAGCCCGCAGTCGCCAGGCCGGAGTCGTATTACTTGAGCCGATGTTCTGGTGTCAGTAGTGTGCCTTTAAGAAGAATGCCGTGAGTTTGATAGATAATGAGGCATCGTTTGGAGTTAGAGAGGAAGAAAGGCCGGATGAGTGTAGGAACTGTAGCAGCAGTTCTCAAACAATGTAAATGGCGAGGCAGATGACGCTTGACGTCGCCGCGCAGCGTCGTTCTCTCGCTGTGAAAGATGCCTTCCATGGGGGCAAAAACAGAAAAATAGTTTGCTGGGTGTTGGGAGAGTGGGCAGAGAGAGGTGAATCCTCCCCCATGTTGGATACCGCTCTCTGTAGCTACACGCATTGTATTAACACACATTGAAAAAGAAGCCCTCCCCTCCAAGTGCATTTACTACACACAATTCTCAGGGCTTGTGGTGGCATTAGACGGCCCTGAGTGTGTCCTTGGTCTTTCTCACCGTTTTTTGAACGCCGTTGGCGTCCCTGAACATCAAGCAGCTGACTAGCGTTGAGGTTTGGTTTTGTTTGAGGCGTCCTCCCTCTCCCTCTTGTTCTTGGTCAGGTCTTGCCCAACACCATTATGGTCTTGAAAGGTGCTGTTTTCCACAGCAGCTCACTGATTTTTCCTAGTGCCTGTGCTGAGTTCCACTGGCGCTTACGCACAGTACACCTCCAGTTTTGGCTGCCACACCAAAGGAACAAAGCTACTATCATTAGGATGCAATGTGTGAGCGCATTTTAATCCAAATCAGGCTGCTTATAGTGCTGAGATTCCCGTGGCAATGTTGGTATGTTACGTTGTTGTGAGTACAGCGGAGTAACGCTTACTACCCTGTGAGGAAAGACAGAGCGGAGTTGTGCCTCCTGCTGTTTTATTCTATGCTTTCGTGTTAGACTGAGAACTTGCGGTCCCCTGCATCGCTCATGTGCAGCACTCTCATGGGTAAACTACCCTTCCATAATATGGGGTAGAAAAAACAGCTGCCCCAGCGGCTTCTGTCTGCCGTTCACACGTCTGGTACCTTCTGTAATAGAGAAAGGTGGAATAGACATGCTCAGTAAACATACTTGCCATTTTCGGCACCAGAAACTTTATCTGCCTAGTGCTAGAAGAGGCCCCTCTCATCTTCATAACGTGTTGCTGCAGGGGTGGGGGACTGAACAGGAGATGTTTGACACTGCTAATGGCCTCCGTACGTGCAAAACTCTGAGCCCTCAAGTGTAAATCCATAAGTTGCTTAGCTTTGTTTTAAATTTTTCCCTTCTCTGGGGTTTTCCGCAAAGAGCAAGTGCTGCTGCGCCCCCCACATCCGAAGGCAGGGGACCCTGAGGCCTGCTCCAGTGTACCGGCAGCTTCGGTTCAGATACTTCAAACTTTCAACTACGTCCACTGTGCATTTACACGTCAAGGGCAAGATAACACTGCGCTGCGCATTGACAGCGCCGCTTACGTTGGCCCAGAACCAGGGGGCGCCGCAGAAGGCGCACCAGCATTACTAGCCACTGCAGCAGCAGCAGCAAAGCTAGTTTTTTGAGCTAAAGTACATCTTCCAGCATTATCTGGTCTTGTGAGAAACAACGCCTGCTGCTGTTGCGGTTTCTGCGACAGACAGTGCCTGCTCTCTTCGCTCTGCCGAGAGCCGGTGCCAAGGCAGTTGAATCAGCCAGCCTGCCATGGCAAGGCGAGGGAAAGGTCCGCGTGGGACCGCTGCAGAGGATAATCAGCAGCAGGTACCGCAACAGAAAGCAGCAGGGGCTGGCGAAGGGGACGGACACAGCACCGAGGCGCATTCCTCGTCGCCGCAGTCCCAGCAACTCAGTGAACAAAATGGAAGCAGCAGCAGTAGCTGCAACGGGGAAGAGACAAATAGCAGCGTCAACAAGTGCTGCGACGGTAAACAGCCTTCCCAAGCTCATGTACGTAGCTTGTGTTCCAGCAGCGACAACCCCAGTTCTCAAAAGCAGCAGCAGCAGACGGAGCAGCAGCCGCACCTAGAGCAAGAGCTCGTGCCTGTCCCGCATAGCTCCGACAGCTTCAACGGTGGCACTCGCTTGACATCTCTATCCCAGCAGCAGCAGCTTCAGCTTCAGCAGCTTCAACCGCAGGTGACGTCGCAAAGTTTCCAGAATACAGGTGCCGTTGGTGAACCTTGCCTCCATACTCCTCAGCAGCAAAACCAGTTTTTTTCTTTCCCTCAGCAGCTGCACCAGACGCAGCTGCAGAGCGCGAGGTTGGCGGAAGAGGGGCGTGGTGAGACTGTAACTATACCGGTGATGAGGGAAACGGGCGAGTCTTCGTCCGATGCTGATCGTGTGCTCCGCAGACAGCTGGCTGTTGATACAGCAGCAGCTAGGGCCCGTAAGAAGCTCCTTGTGGCTTCTGCCGTTTGTTTAGTGTTTATGGCAATTGAAGTTGTAGCAGGCATTGCTGCAAACTCTTTGGCGCTTATGACGGACGCGTCGCACCTCCTGTCAGACCTATGCGCCTTTCTCATCAGGTACCTTGTTTTGGAAGCTGCATGAAACTATGGAAGCCTTTGTGTTGTTTGTATTTTGTTTTGATCGCCCCATTCTTTGTGCGTTTCAAAATAGCACACAGTGTGTGGTGCTTCAGCCGACAAGCTTGTCTTTCTTCTGCTGCCGTTTCGTCTCCAAGCCTCAGCTTGCATGTGTGTTCGCTCGACTTTTGGCTCCTTTTATTCACGTTTGTGCCGACTATCGCCGTCTCGTCTCTTGCGCGTGTCGAATTGCGTCTTGTTAGCCCGTGTTGTGCGAGTCTTGTCTCTTCTTTGTGTTTATGTTTGCCGGCGTCTCAGCTTTTGCTTTCTTTGTTGCTACCGCGTTTTGAGCCATTTGGTCTAATGCTTTGATTTGCTCTTATATGCTTGTCTGCTCTTTTTCTGTCATTTGGCCGCACGCCTGCGTGCCTATAGTCTGTGCCACCTTTTGGCGCTCCAAGTGTCCGAATTCGTGACTGCGTGTTGTGCTTCTGTGCTGCTCACTATGCTTGGATTTGTATTTCTGTCCACCTGATGCATTCGTGCATACTACTTGGAGCAGGATTCAACTTTTGTTGGACGTGCGTTTCTGTGGTTTAAGGTGCGCACATGTGGGTTTATTAAGCGGGCCACTCTGGTACGTGTTTGCTGAAGCGGATGCCTGTTCGTTCATTTCTGTACGTTTTTGTGGCGCAGTTTATTCGCGCTTTGGGTTTCCCAGCTGAAGGGGACCTTGTCCATGTCCTTCGGGTACCACCGGGCAGAAATTTTGGGCGCTCTTTTGTCAGTGCTGCTAATTTGGGGCGTCACTGCTGCTCTCGTGGTGGCTGCACTGCAGCGCATTGCAGCACCGGAAAAGGTAGAGGGAGGGCTCATGCTGCTGACGGCGTCTATAGGGACGGCTGCCAACCTATTCATGGCGCACATTCTACACATACACTCTCACGGGATCGGTAGAATTCATACAGGCCATGGTGCCGAAGTGGAAGGCGCTCACAGTAGCAGCAGCAACAGCAACAGCGGATGCTGTGCTGACAACAGCGAAGCAAGGGCTCTATCCCCAGTACGCTCAGCCGGTTGCTGCGGCAGCAGTGGTAACAGCAGCAGCAACAACAGGGCTAAGAACAACAGCTACGACCTTCACGGACATGACAAAAATGATGCGCGTACGCTGCTTCTCCAGAAAGGACCTAATGATATCGAGCAGCAACAGCAAACAGCCGCTGCTGCAAAAGACGACGTGTATGTACGGATGGAAGAGGATCCAGAGACCGAAATCGAGAGCATGAACCTTAGAGCTGCTTACATTCATGCGCTTGGGGACCTACTACAAAACATTGGTGTGATGATCGCATCGGCTATCATCTGGTACGCCCGACCGAGCATTTTTAATCCCTAGAGGGGAACCTAAAGCAGTAGCCCGACAAAAGCTTGGCACGAAATGCGAGCCAGCGAGCTCGCAGCTTCTGACGAAACGCAGTTAAGTGTTTCTTTGCAAGCAAAGTCAACCATGTGTTGAGAAGTTAGGAATGAGGCTACGGAGGTCTGGGCTTTTGGTGTTAGGTACAATCCCGAATATTCTATCGCGGACCCAGCGTGCACTTTGCTCTTTTCCATGTTCGTTATCTTGACGACTATTTCTATCATCCGCGAGGTCGGCTCTGCTGCCGCCTGCTGCTGCTGCTGCTGCCAAGATTTCTCCCGTTACTGCAGGATATACTGTAGTCGCTTGTTTGGCTGTGTCTGTTTTTCGGAACTTGTCACTACTTAGGACTATAAGGCATCCGTGTCTCTAGCTGTTCTCCAAAGTAGCTGGATCTTGTGCAGAGTGTAAAGATTCTTGGTTTGTGTATGTGTTTGCAAAGTGGAATATCCAGTGTGCTGCATACGCACGCTTGTTTTTGTTGGGTATTGCGAGGCTACGGCTTTCTCTTCAGGCAGTAAATGTGCTAATGGAAGGTACTCCTGTGGGCTTGGACGTGGCCGTGCTGCAGTCCGACTTAGTGTCACTGCGAGGAGTGCTTGAAGTGCACGATCTCCACGTTTGGTCAATTTCCATAGGACGGCCGGCGCTTGCCTGTCATCTTGTTGTCTGTAGGCGGAGACTTTTGCTGCAGCTACTGCTGAATACATGTGATTTTGTGTTTGTGTTGTGAAGAGCCTGTTGCGCTGGATACAGCAGAGGGTTTCCCGTATTTTTCTCTGTCTGCTGTGTCTCAGCTGCTTTTGGGGACACTGTGACGCATCGTGCTGCACGTTAATAGGAGCTGTAGAGCCAAAAGCAGGCGGTTCATGTTGTGTGTGAATGTTCAGGTGATGAGGAGGCTGCGCGTCGTGTTCTGAGGGCGGCGACTCTTCTTTGCCAGCGCAAGCATGGCATTCTTCATACAACGATCCAAGTAAAGCCCTAAGCTGCCATGCTGCTGCTGCCGCTGCTGTTCAACTGCTGCTGCGACTTGGGGTTACAGCTCACTGCCGCTCGACTTTGGCACGATAAGTTGGCGCTTGCTCTTCAGCTTGTCTTTGGTAGCAGACAGGTGTTTACATAGCATAAAGAAGTTGCTTTGCATGTGCACTGAGGAAATTATTTATCTGCCTCTATCTGAAGTGTATCTAAATTGGGAGCAAGCATACAGCACAGGGGGCCTACTTGCGTCTGATTTCTGTGCGCCATTATGCGGCTTTGGGTTGCATTTAGCGTTCGCTCTTTTTCTCCTGTGGAGCTGTTATCTGCGGCGGGTTTTTGCCCCTGACTGGCTGTTGCACGTCGCTTATCCGTGATAAGCGACATGCAAACTCCATCTACTGCTTGTTGCTGCGGAATAGTTACAGGGGTGAGGTGTGAACTTTATAGTACTCCACTGTGTGGTTATTATCTGCAGACCGACTTCTCGTCCGATGCCTCCTGTTGCGACACGGAGGCTCATCAGAAATGCATGGAACCTATAACTCGTGCAGAGCTTTGACTAAATTTGTGCTCCCAAATCCCGCTGCGGCTACTGTCGCTGTGCTTCCGTCAGTGCTGCTTGAAGCAAGGCCTATGCAACAGCAGTAACGCGATGCACACGAGGCAGCAATGGAGATGCAGTACAAGTGTCACGTGCTACTGCTTTTGCTGAAATGTCCGCGTGCTGCGCACTTACCAGAAAAGGCGCGTTTCTCTGCACGCGTTTTTCTACTAGGCGAAGAAAAGCGGCAAAATCAGCGGCAATGTATTCGTTGTAGTGCGTGCAGCGGCATGTTGTCTTGTTCTGGTATTATATTTGACATCAACGAGACGTGGAAGTGCATCAGGTCCGTGGTAGCAGCAACAGTGCTAGAGCCTCAGAAAAAGCAAGACTAGAGTTGAGACCGAGAGTAGCAGGCATGATTTCAGATTCAACGACACTAGAAAGCGCTGGTGGCAAACTCTGTAGGCCCTCCCCCGCCTTATAACAGATTTTCACTTGAAGTAGTATAGGGGCTACATGGCAGTATTGAGGTTTCTTCTATTTAGCAGAACTAAGGTCGTGAGAGCGCCCCGCATTTGCTTTGCCGTCTTTTGTTGGCACGCTTTGGGCTCCTTGGGGCTTATTTACAACATAATGTGGGACAAGAGACTGCGCTGGGTGGACTGGTAGGGGGAGATAAGTTAGCGGGTCGTGGAGGGACTGCACCTCACACAGAGGTAGCGAGGAAACGGAACACAGCAGGGGCAGTAATCTCACTGCTGAGTGCGTGTAGGTTTCGAGACGCCTCCACGCATGTGCATAGAGACGGGTAGATCCTTAAAATGTGCGAACTGCTCTGGCAGTTGTAAAGTGTGGTCGCACGTTTTTTACGTGGTGCGTTTTTTTGTCAACCGATAACCCTTTCATGGGAAAGTTTCTTTCTGCTTAGTACGGAAAGGCGGTGTGCAAATCCGTCCAGTGCACTGCTGACAATAGGATGTGGACGCAAGGCGGGTTGGCGCAGGCGGTGTCGCGTGGGTAGCTGTTCAAAGGCACACACCACGTTGGCCCTTAGGTCGATGCATCGGGAGGAATTTCAACTGCTCCAGATCACGGCACGCAAGTGCATCCAGTGGATTGTTGACAATGGGGTGCAGAGATACAGTGGATGGGCTGCAGGCGCTCACTTCTAAACTGTCAGCGAGCCGGAAATGACGGGAACGAGCTTATTTCTAGCTTTGGGGCAGTTCGCACCTGCACAGGCATGCACCCATATAGACAGGGAAGAAGATGCGTATACATGAATTTCCACATGATTACTACTGGAGAACAGCGCTGTCTTCTTGCTACAGTGGCTTTTCAACTTCCTGTCGTTACCTTCATAGTCTGGGTGTGGCTCACTTGTTGCGTAGCCAAAATGCTGTCACTTATCGCATAATTAACGCTTATATGCAAAAAATTGTGAGCGGAAGGAAAGCGAGATACAGAAGCAGTGGAAGGTTTTCTGTCGACACCGCGATTCGGCTCACAAAGGGTCGTGCAGACAGGTAGATCTGGCATGATCTGCAAATTCCATTAATCGACCAGTATAAAAGGCCGCATTAATTTTCCTACTGAAACAAAAGTCTTTTTCACCAGTTTTTCGAAGAGGTGTATTACACCCAGAAAATGAGCAAGTGAGCCGCTTTTTGCAGCCAGCATCACCTTGTGCAAGGTGCGGCTCTTCACGCTGTTGTAGCTGAAAAAAAACCTGGGTGAAGCGAAATTTTCAAATTAAGGGCTTATTTATTATCTATTGTGCAATTTTGTTAGTTGGAAGGCTACGCATTCACCGAAGCCCTCTGAAGAGAAGTGTCTGACTAGCGCTTCTAGGTGATGTCCCTAATTACTCAAATTTGAGTTCTTTCTGCTTCATCCAGTTGAGATGTCAGCCAACGCCAAGAAGGACGAAGATCGCAATTATGAGCTTGAAAATGAAGTGCTCAGGAGGCGAATACAGACCCTGGACAAGCTCCTTGGTAAGATGATGCTGTAGGTATACTTTGATTCCAACGGAACACAACACAGCGCCGACTGAACATGGAGAGCTTAGGGGTCAGCACAGGGAGAACCACACCGCTGTTCGCGCATGCTTCACAAACGTTTCAGTGTGCGTAGCGTAGGGGGGCAATGAGTATTCTTCCGATATAGTCAGGGGATAAGGCTGTTCACGGATTACAGCATCAATCCTTTTCGGCGTCGCAGTCTGTCGTAGTACATCAAGCTAGGATACATATCTTTCACCCGCGCGAGCCGGGTTGAAGTGCCCGCTATGGGGTGGTCTTACTGGTTGCAGCACCTTCTGTTCATTTGTACAAAAGCAAAGAAACATAAGAATTGAGCTTTACACGACGAGCTAGCCTCCAGAGCTGCGCTAAATCAGTTGATGTTATAAGTTCAACTTAACATTTGTTTCCGTCTTTGCTGTATAGTGTCTCTTTGATCCCATCGAGCGGGCGCCTTCCTCTTAACACTTGACACTTCGCATTCTTTGAACTTCTCCCAGAACTTGAGCGTACAGTTGCACATTAGGAACAGTGGCGGGTATGAATGGATTTCACGGCCATTTTTAGGAGTCACTGCAGCTTGCAAGCCGGACTATAAAAGCACATAGCACATAACGTGCGTAGAGCTTACGATACATTTGCGCAATAATTGCATTGGCATCGGAATTTACAATATGCAGTCTACGAACAGATAAGCTGACATAGCGCGGGCATTATCTCCCCTACAAGAATGCTGTATTGCAGAAGTGGAACTGGAGCTGCGGGAGAAGAGTGAGCGTGCATCTGCTGGGCTTAGAAAGCAAATAGAGGACCTCAATGAGTTATTCAGAGAACAAGATAAGCTTCTCTTCTCAAGTGTCGGAAATCTGAGTCAAAAAATTTCAGAGGCAAAAACACATTATCAACAGCTCATCCAAAACCTACAGCAGCAACTGCAGGCTGCAGAACGTGATGTAGGTAGGCGAAATCAGAGTCGCCAATGCAGAATGCAATTCAGCGAAAAAGCGGTTCAGGTGGACAGTCGCCCGTACAGTTCAAGCTGTCTTCATTATTTCTCTACATTGCCGCTGAGACTTGAATACTGTTTAAACGCTCCTAACGTCTCTACGACACAAGAAACCCCCAGTTGTGCCGGGCTTTATAGAAGGGCTGTCGGCTGAGCACTGGTGCCAGCCCTGAAGCCTTAAGCGCAAAGCCTTTACCTTTGGGATTTACGTACAGCTATAGCTGAGGAGGACGTCTCAACGACACGCTCTACAAAGGAAAAGGAATTACAGAAAGCCAAACAAAACCTCCAGCAGCTGGAAGGAGATATTGAGAGAATGACTTTCCAATTTGCCGATCTCCTGAACGTGTGTCAGAACCTAAGAGTACCATCCTCAATCACTATTGTTAAGCATACCTACGATTTTGTGAAGCCAGCAGGCGCTTCAGGGCTCTTCTCCTCCAATCCACCCATCCTAGTAACTTGTCTTCGCTTGTATACAGTTCGGGGCTTTTGTACGTTGCTTGCTCTGACTTTTGCGAACTCAGGATACGGCAGAAAAATTGGTGGAAAGGATCTCAATGTCGCAGGGTAGTTGGGCAGCTGAGCAGAAGCGAAAACCTTTGGAGCTCCGCATGCAGGAAGAAACTCCAATGGACCTGGGTAGCTTTCCTATACGATCTGGGTCAGGTGTTGAGAAATCCTAGGTAACAGCAGCTGGCGAAGTATTGAGGCAGGTAGAGGAGGCAGCACACACTGTGATTTTGCATGAGATAATGGTGCTCCGGACCAGTCTGCACTTGCTCTTGATATATATGTCTCTTAAGAATCTTGTGGTTTTGGCTTTGTTGCGCTAGCTGAGTGGTGAAAACCGGACTTTTATTTTTTTGGGGGTCGCGCAGTCCTGCGTTCCCTGATCTGTCTGTATTGCTGTCACAGGAGCTTCTGTCTTTGTTCTATGTCTTTGTCACTCCGGTTGTGTCCGTGTTTGCCTCTGCGTTTCCCTGTCGCTTCTTTATGTCCCATTCTCCAGACGTATAGCTGACACTGTCTTTGTGTAGCTTTTTGTTCCTAGCTGCATGAGCAGCTTTTCCCGAATCCTTTGAAATATAAGGGCATGGATTAGCTAAAACACTACGATTTTTACTACTTCGGTAACGGACGTGGACAGCTTAGTCGTAGAGCACAACGGCCAGACAAACCAAACAGGGCCGAAATCATACGTTTACATCACATCAATTCAAGAACTGGGAACAACCATTTAGGGTTCGAACGTCAAAGACCTCAAGGTCTAAGCCCCAACCAAGTTCTCACAACTAACAAGAGACTCACACTCTATGCAGCGAGTCTGGCGGCTTTCTGCTCAGAAGAGATGGTGAGCAGCTGCCGAAGGACAGCTGAGGAGGACTCACTTACCGTCACCGTATACCCTGGGTGCGTGACGAACCCCCCCAAGTGAAGGCCTCCACGAGTGGAGGCCTGCTGACCGTCACCAGGGGTGAGATATAACGCACACACAAATCTTTGAAGGAGGAAAGGGATTCAGGGGTACCACGTTTTAGGAACGGTTCGCCGGACTCGTTCTTGCTCTGTCTCCTAGACAACACAATTCTTTTCTGAAGCATCAGCAAATATGTGCCAAACGGCTCGTGAAATGATATGCAATAAACGTGCAGTCGCGGGCCACCACCGCCTTGGCGGTAACGCGTGGCCCTAAACTACGATGCAGCAGCCGCAGGTGTTCTTGGTATTCTATTCTTTGTCGTTCCAAATAGCAAATAAAAATTAGGAGCAGCATATGCTTTTCAAAGCGAAATCATAACTGTGAAGACGGTCCACAGTGTGGAGTTTGGAATGTACACTTTGTGTTCGGGAGAGGCGTGTCCGCTTGCCGGGTCCTTTGTGCGGCACCCTTAGGCGATGAGTGATACACATATCTCGATCATGCACCTGCCTTTCTTAAACAGTTATAAATTTATAGCTATTCTACCAAATAGTTGTAGGATAACTGCAGCAAGTCAGCTGTGCAGCAGCAGCAGCAGCAGCTGCTGCTGTAGCTGCGGGCGGCCGCAGTGGTCCGGTGCTGCCGGCCTCTGCCCGGTGGTGGTTGCTGCAATGTTTGTCAATCGTTTTATTGATTTGCCTGTTTAACATTAATTGTGCATTATATCGCTTGAAACCTTGGCCTCAGTAGTAGTGTGGTAATCGCCTCGCCTAAGATGTCAGCAGCAGCAGCAGCAGCGGCAGCAAACAAGGGGTTGGTGGAAGGGTCTCCGACGGCTGGAGCCTCTACTTCAGGGCGGGAAGGCTGTCCGCCTTCCTCTGGGACTGGCGAAGGCCTCCAATATCAGCAACAGTATCCAGTTTCGCTGCAGCAACAGCTTGCGGCCCAGGGTATCCCTCACGGTTACCCTGGCATGCTTGAGGGAGGGCCTGTAGATCCAACCCAAGCTCAGGTAGCTGCCTTCGCTAACCAGACCGCAATGTATGGTCCTTACGGATCTCCTTATTCACTAGCTATGGCTCCTCCTCCCACGGGGGGCCCTTACTTTCCCGTGAGTGTAGCCACAATTTGCTAAGCCATCACCACATTCATCATGCTGAACACTTCATGCCGCAGAAGCGTTGAGCATCACACACAAATAATGTAGCGAGACACTTCATCTACAGAGCAAAGGACCCACTCCACTCGGCTCCTGACCAGCAGGAGGATGGGCCAACGCCTGTCACTGCGCCTTGTGCACCAGTCAGCTGTCAGTGTCTGGCGGGGCGGAGTCCGTGACTTTGCCCCGCGCAGCTTCGTGGAGGTGATGGATGACGTTGAACCTGCAGAATTTCCGTGTGTTTTGCGTTGTACTTCTGGGTTTCGCAGGGCATGGGGGCTCAACTACCCTTTACCGGCCTTGACACATTCACTTTGCCAGGGCCCGCTTACTATGACCCGTATGGAATGATAAACCCAGCGGCGTGCGTAGCCCCCGTTCCTCCCCCAGAAAACCGGGAGGTGGAGCAACCGAAGCACCTACGCAGGAAAGCTAGCAAAAAGTGGTTTGGTTGCTGCTAAAGCTACGAATGGACGGCAAACGCAGAGAAAGTAGGAAGCCTCGCCTTCCTAGAGGATTTATACGGAACGCAACGTTGAGACGAGCGTGCGATCCCCAAATCAGAAAATGTCAACTTTTGGACGACAGTTCGCAAATTTGACGGGTCCACAGAAATAGGCCTCGAGAGTTCTGGGGTCCCTGCAGGCCCCAAGCTTTCGAGAGTCTCATGTCTGCAAGCTTTGCGTACTTCTCCAGCTTGGAGTCTCCTCGCACCTCTGTGATAGATATATTCACCAGTGTTCAGCTAGCTAGATGGTTCGCGAGCTAGCTAGCTTGCCGCCACAGCAGGCGGGCTCTTTGGGGCATGCAAAGCATGTCGGGCCTCAAAGAAAGCTGCGATGATGGCGTGTAGCTGCACGCAGCAAACACAAATTTTTATTTGTTTGATTTTACGCTCTCTAGGCATATGATATGTTTGAATCTTAAGGTATATATACGGCTTTGCTTCATCGTAGTCTGGAGTTGCGCACCTGCACGAATTCACCTGAGCCCAATGCCAGTCTCTCCCTGCGAGGCAGCCATAAAGCACAATGGCTTTTATTTTACAAAAGCGTTTTAGTGAGACAAGGCAGTCTGAGGGTCTAACCCCTGTATTCTACTTGGAGAGGGTAGGAACCCCTCAGTCATTCTGCGGTATGCAGAATTTGGATATCCTTCCTCACTCAATATCTGCCAGGCGTGTCACGAGAGTCAACGCCACAGGCACCGGCAGCTTCATATTTCGCATCTCGCTGTGGAGGGCTGAGGCGCAAACCCAAGACTCTATGTTCCCTTCATGAGGCTAAAAACGGTACTACAAGTGAAAATCCTTATACTGGGGAACGAAGGGACGGACAAGGAGAGAAGGAGACATAAGGAGAAGAAAACGGCGAAATGCAGTGGATCCACAGTGAGCATGAGCTGACTTCGCCTTCCTACGGGCTTCGAGTCTCACTGGGTGTAGCGTTTAGCGTGGGATAATTTGCTTCGAAAGGCCGACTCCCCTTCACCGTTTAAGCTTACCTCCAACCCAGTCTCTGACCGAGTAGCCTCGCCTTGTAACCAGTCCATAGAACTCTGCCAACCAGCACACACGAATGCCGGCTCTCTGAAATCGGCTGCTGCCGTAACCCCGCCAAAATAACCCAGAAGTACAGTCCTGAAAAAGAGGGACCAGGGCTAGAAAATCACCTGAAGAACAAGTCCGCAGATCCTTCTCCAAGAGAATCTGCATGACGCCTTTTACCTCACTTGGTTGAGGTATCCCCAAAACGCGGTGTACCAGCTCGGCATCGACTGGCTCCCCAGGGTGAGCCATGCTCGCTGCCTGAGAAAACCATTACTCCGAAGTCACAAACAGCAAATCATAACCTTTTGCCGGGTCGCTCTCACAAGAGCCTTAATCATATCCTAGAACCTAACACTCACCTGCATGCAATTGAGGAGCCGACGCATGTCTCCAGCAGCTGTAAAAAGAATGAACAAAACCTCAGTCACGAAGCCCCAAACCATCAGGCCTATACCTGAGGAGGAATTTTATCAACTGCCCCGCCTGCCACGGTAGATCCTTCAATTTCTTAACTGCTGCTCACCGATTTGCAGGAGTGCCTCATAGCCATCTTCTGTCACTGACAGGCTGCGAGCAAGCAAACACTCAGTACCCCACCATAAGCATGAGAGGCGCCCATTACTGCAGCAAGACTCGAGTACTGAAGTTTGGTGTGAGTGTTGACAGTTGACAGTTAAGCAAGTGGATCATGTACCATTCCAGCTTCGCTGCTTCTTCTGCTTTTCGCCTAAGCTGAAATAACAGACAGGCATTGAATCGCAAACCCCTGCTTGTAAACCCGCAAGCCACAACGGCGAGAAGAAGCGCATACAATCCAAACAACGATTTCTGCCCATAGTCAAAGCTACAAACGCAAAACCTACGGCTTCGGGCTTGAGGGGAGTAAAGCGCATGCTGCACGGAGAACACAAGGCAAGCGCTAGACGTCCACTGAGAGGTTACAGCGTCCACAAAACAGTAGCAGCTACACAAACACCGAAGGTATAAGCAGTTGCAGGTTACCTGGTGCATCTTGACTGAATGGCAGGGGTAATTTTGTTGACGAAGTTGCAAATTAGGCAGAAACGGACGTTGCGCGCATAGCTTTCCATGACTGAAAATGTCACACTCTCAGATCCTCAATGTACACTCTAAATTCGTTACCCCCAAATGAACAGCCAAGTTTCTTTGCTAATTCCATCGTGCAGCAGCTGCTGAATGCATGTCTATTCAGATGGGGGAGGCAGGCAGCACTTTGAGAGGCAGCATAAGCTAAAACAGCGAGCCCAGTAGAAACACACTTCTTCTTAGCGCATTCTGCGCTGCAGATGTCATTTGATCTGCTTCATCTAATATGATCAGTTTCAGTTTAGGAGGCCCAGAAGGCGCAGTCCCAGACCTAAGAAAACTCAAAAAATCTGATATGTGTTCCCATAGCCCTGTGTCCTGAGCTCTTGCACGTATAGCACCGACTGGAACACTGGGAAACAGTAGTGATCTTCAGTGTTTCATGCACAACGCTTCGTGTCACGACTGTCGACCGCCTCCTTAGCACAGTTGGTAGTGCGTTTGATTCGTAATCAAAAGGTCGTGGGTTCGATTCCCACAGGTGGCTTCCTTTGGAGGACCTCATTTTAAACCCCAGTGACTGACTGCAGCTTACAGAGAGAAAGACGCGGAGGTCGTTTCTGCGAACGTTTTAACCAGTTCTCGCACAGACCCGATCCCTCTGTCATCTGAGGCATTCAGCTACAGCAGAAATACACCCACACATTTGGAAAGACTGCATCCACAAGATCGAATGCCACAGCAACAAAAATGCCATCTGCACCACTGACAAGGCGGGCTAGATTGTTAACCTATGGCAAAGTTGTTAGCAGAGCCGGCGACCCCATGGCTTCTGGCACACCTCAAGAACATGAGATGCCTGTTGGGAACCATACAGCTGCCTAGCCACGGCCAGAATAGTAGACGTTTTGCCAGTTCCTAGGTAAAACCAGAGACCGCAAGCAATGGAGTCCAAGTGTGGATCGAAACCGGCTTCACAAGGAAACACGAGCTGCAAATATCTGGTATTAGCGCGTCTTTGAACTCTAGGCACTGTTTTGAAACACTTAACCTCTTCGTTTCTCACCTGGAGGACCGTGAAACAAAAGGTGAGGCAGCTGACCCTTGTCGACATACCGCCGAACTGAGCATTCAAAGAAAAAACTAGAAGCACCAAACAGTACAAAGCATAAAAACTGTGCCGACCAAACATGTCAACAGGCTAGTTGAAAAACAAAACGCATAGCACTTTAGGCCGGAACGCGCTTAGGGCCTTAATCTGCCCAGTTCTGTGGATGGTTAAAGCTTAGGTTGACTTGCTTGTCTGGATAATATCATCGTGAGACAAAATGTCGCTCAACGTCTTTGGGCGGTAGCGCTCCACCTGCATGGATTACCCAAAGTGCAAAGAATCGTGTGCAAGGAAGCCAAGAGAGCCAGTGCCCGGGGTTAAGGGAGCAAAGCCAAGGGTTTATGTATGGTTTATGTATGGGGGTATGGTTGCGAGTTTCGATGTACCCAAGGAAGATCAGTGTCTTCGTTTGTAGTGGTGTTGGGTCCCACAGCGGCTCCTTGTGGATTCCTGTTTTCATCCATTTTCCAGTCCCGTTTTATGTGCGTCCTGTGTATGAATTTTGCTGCTGTTGCCACTGATGCGGATGATATGGTGCAAGTCCCCTCGCGGCTGCTATTGCCCTACGCTGCAGACCGTAAATGGTGGCACTAAGCAGGGTAAAAGCAGTACCACTAGTTCTTCCACTCTACTGCTGAAGGTATGGTTGGCCTGAAAGTATGTGGAGGAAGAAAATTGCTGCCGTCGGCAGCGGCAGCAGCAGCTGCGGCAACAGATTTGCTGCAGTAACGCTCCAGGCAGGTCTCCCAAACCAAATGTTATTGGAGTGGAAAAATAGAAAATGAATTCTTCCAGTCTTTGTCTTTGCTAGAAGGGTTGTGGAATCGAGTGTTGACTGGAGTGGTGAGGATGGTGGAGGGCCCCAAGGCCCCACGCCGGCAACAACATCAACCCGCTTTTCCCAGTACTGCTGCCGCTGTCGCCGTTGCTTTTAGCACAACAGTTACTAATCATTGCTGCCTTTTTCCGAATTGAATATATGTTACACGTCTTTTGAGATGAAAAGGGCAGCAGACTAGTGTTGTTGCTCGCTTTCGCTGTTGCTACCTCTAGTCCAGCAGCAGTAGCAGCATCACCCACCTAGATCTGCTACATCAACACTTCATTCAGCCGCATGCCTAGCCGTCTTCGTCCTCTCCCTTTGGTACTAATGCCTAATCGAGACCGAGAATCCCGCAGGAGGAGCACTTTCCCCGCTTGCCAATGCATTTGAACTCCAGGTTACGCTTGCTGTGCAGACAGAGCTCAACTACGCAGCTGCAATAGCCTCTCAGAAGCAGCAAAAGCCGTTGGAGTAGGACAAATAAATGCGGACTACTCAAATTGGCAACTGGAGGAAAAGGCGCATTAGCAGTAGCAGCAGGAACGCTGTACTGACGATTACAGTGAATGCTCCGCAGCCCTTTGAGAATAAGGAGCAGGAACTCACAGCAAGTCTTTGTTTCAGGAGACATTTTTCCCCTGATAAGCCCAAGATGTGATGCAGCAGTCACAGGAACAGCAGCAGCGCCAGCTCCTACAGCAGCTGCTGCAGCAGCGACAACAGCAGCACCTGCAGCAGCAGCAGCAGCAGTTACAACCCATGCAGCAACCGTATCTGTTACCGTCCCAGCAAGGCTTTCAGGATCAGTCTCGGGGACTGCTTTGCACTGGTCAGGATGAACGTGCATTGGAACAACAGCGGGAAGGACGGCGACTGCCGCAGCAGCAACATGAACAGCAACAGTTGCTGCAACAACAGCAGCTGCAGCAACACCAGCAGCTAGACCAGCAAGTCCTTAATCCGACAACGCATCATCACTCTGCGTTATCGGGAGTATTGAACCAAGAAGCCTTGCCTCAGGAGAAACAGCAGCAGATTCATCGGCTTCGTTGCCAGCAACAGCGCCAATACGAGCAGCAGCAACAGAGCCAGCAGCTCCATCAGCAGCTGCCACGCCACCGTCTTTCTCGTCAAAGCGAAAAGATAGCAAGCGCTACTCGGGAGCAGTCCAGAGACCTCGTTGGGCGTAGTCAGAGCTCAACTGAACTCCCCGTTGGTTTGGCTGCTGCTGTTGCTACGGCTGCGTCTCCAGCAGCAAAGACGCGAGACTATGCAGCTATTTCACTAGCAAAAACAACAACAAGGGCAAAAAGAACAAATACGAAGGCACGGAAGCTGCCAGCAGCAGCGTCGATGTTGCTGCGGCGCTGTCTTTCGAAGGAACTGGTAGGGCCCTCGCTATCGGACTTGGCTTTGTTGCCCCGTTTGTTTCACATCTTCGCTGATGATGGAAGCGCGCAAAGCAGCAACAACAACAGCAGGAGCATCTGGGGGACACGAGACAGCAGCAGCAGCGCCAACAACCGCATCCAGAGCGGTAATAGAAGCCGGCAGCTTAATTTCGAGACAGCGGAAATGTTTTCTCGGGAGCTGCTGGTGAGCACCTCTTTGACACTACCAATGATGCTGGTGTCGTAGACTCTGTTCTCGCCTTCACCTGCTCATAATGTTTTGCCTCGATATCCAATCGTGGAAGGACTAGCAGCTGAAAGATACATCTGTGTATCTCTGCTTTTGTTGCTATGTTTATGCCGTCACTGCTGCTGCATCTCATTTTCTTTCAGCGCTGCAGCGTTCTGCGTCACCCCGTGTCAGCTCTTAAGGCCCTCATTGTGGCCCACAGGCTTTTGGCGCAGGTGAGGTTGGGAGTAGGCGCATTACAGCAAGGCACACATATACATGTTTAGCGTCGGGGAGCAGACTTTAGCTTCAATGTCTTCACGTTCTTTTCTCGGGTGTGGTCGCAGATTCCAGTGGATGCTTTTGTTGGTTCTTCTCTCCACAAACTTCCGGTGCACATACTACGTATTTGGTCAGCCAAGGCCTTCCAGCCTGCAGCAGAAGTAGCAGCATCAACAGCAGCAGACGCAGGCGGGGCTTTGGCAAGAGCTCTAACAGGTACATCAACAGTGGCTGCAGCAACTGTAGCAGGAGCATCCAGGCCTGAGGGTGCGGTGTGTGCCTGCGCGGATTTCTTTGCTGAAAAGCTACGACTGCACGTGCAACTTGTAGACTGCTGCACTGGTAAGGCACTAAAACAGCAACATCATTATAAGCAACAAAGAAAGGAGAATAAGTGACCCAGAATACACATAAAGGGCGTCAGCAACGTACGTAGCGCTTTCTGTTTCTTGGATTTGTCTGGGTCCTCTACGGTTTGCCTTTGTATGTGCTGCATCTGTTGCTCCATCGGTTTTTGCTGCTGCAGGGACTTGGTCAGTCTCTCGTTTCTTGAGGGCTAATGGAGTGTCTTTGGAAACCCTCGTGGCCTTTGAAGCAGAAGGTGTTGTCTCTCTCAATGCTTCTGTTGCACTGCAGTAAGCTCCTGGTGATACAGTGCTCTCGTCTGTCTCGGCAGGCACACAAGACACTCTCACTATTTAAATCGACTGCTCGAGAGCTTTGCAACTTCGAGCATTAGGTGGATGGCACATTATTAAGCATGCAGGCCATGGGACTTTTGCAGCAGAGTAATGGAGAGAGCGAACACAGCTGCTGCAATGTTAGCACCGAAGGCTGCAGGCGCCGTTGTGACCTGGTGCTACCGTACCACCCAGACTGCAAGTGCATCAGCAACACCAGCACCAGAAGTCTTGTCTGGATGGATTAGGTGCTGCTATGCTGCGTCGCAGGCTAATTAGCGTACTGCACCGTGCGTGCACTCTTTGTTTGCTGCTGTTGCAGCATAGGGGCAGCACCCTCTTTGCTGTGAGTAGCATATACGTAGTCCTGCTCGTGGATGACATCTGGGGCATTGCGGCATTGCTACTGCGCCTACTTCATGCGCTACTGCAACGCTGCATGCGCCCAGCAGTCGCAGCAGGTGCGGGGCTGGCTTTAGTGTCAGTGCTGGCTTCTCTTGCCAATCCTCTTAAGGAAGCTCTCAAGGATATGCAAATAGCAGCAGGTATGCTTGAGCAAAAGCACTGGCAGCAGCAGTGGCGACAGTAGCGGCAGCAGTAGTCTGAGTGAAAGCAGCAGCACCAATGGAGGACAGGCTGTATGCGCTCTCTGTGTTTGGTCTTTGCTGCAGAGGAATGTGCTGCTGCTGCAAGCAGATGCCCATTGCTGCAGCGTATGTGCCCTCCACCAGCTGAGACACTTTTGCTGCTGGATGACTTACGGAAGCAGCAGCAGCAGCAGACCTCGCGGATGTTACTGCCTCGCAGCCAGTTGTTGCCATACAGGCCTTCTTCCTCAGCACGGAAGTCCATGCAGGCTGTTGCGCAGCTTCCGCTTCCTGCCGACCTGGAGGCTGCCGCTGCTGCTGCTGCTTCCTCTGGGACTGGAGTAGCACGTGCAGCATCTAAAAACGACAAAGAATGGATATCCTTTCTAAAGATTGAGGAGGTGTACTTGCTGCTGAAGGACACAACGGTAGAGATTGCGCTGCTTTTGCAAGAGCAGCCAAGCTACTATGCCAGCAGCCACACGCACAGTAGAAGCAGCAGCAACAGTAGCAGCAGATGTAGCGGAATAAGCCTGAGGCGGCATGACGACGTGCAAGGGCGCGATGGAGGAGCAACAAAATCAGTCGACGGAGCGAGAGATGGCTGCTCTACGCCGCGCGCTGCAGCAAGCGTTGCTGCTGCGGAGCCCTGCCATTCATGCTCTAAGAGTGAATGCCGTGGTTGTGCCTTTGCTGCAGCAGCATCAAAGGGAGCAGATTCTGTGCACGAGCAACAACGAAACCAACGAGCACAACAGGGGCAACGACAGGGCAATAGAGGTGTAGATGAATACGCTGCAGGGGTTCTAGAAGCTGTAACAGGAGCCATTGATGAAGAACATGCTGCAGCAGAAGCGGCACCTCCTGCTGTGCAGGCTGGTGCTACCACAGGCTCTCCTACTGCTTTTTGTGCTGGGGGAGCAGCAGTAGCGGCAGCTGTTACTACTCAGGGCTCCCTAGCTGTCGCTTCCTTTGATGCGGACCTACGCTCCCTTACTTGTGGTAGCCCCTCCTTTCAGGAGATGCTACAGCAGCAGACCCATCTACAGCAGCTGCATCAGACCCAGCAGACCCATGTACAGCTCCAGCAACAACAAGTTTATCCACAGCACTACTTTGAGCAGCAGCAGCATCTCCAGCAGCAGCAACTCTACAACCAGCAACTACAGCAACAAGTGCACCAGCAGGAGGTTCTAGGTGAGGCGTTGCAGCAGCAGCAGCTGCAGCAAGCAAGGGAGTTTCTACAGAGGCCACAGCAGTGGCAACCACAACAACCGTGGCAGCTCGAGCAGCAGCAGCAGCACCGGCAGCAGCAGCAGCAGCAGTGGCTGCACGGCAACGTAGGCGACTCACGGAGTGCTTGTGTATGCCAGCTGCAGCCTCAGTGCTCGCACCAACAGGAACTGCAGAAGACCCAGCAGCTTCAGCGGCTGCTCTTGGAGCAGTCGGCCATGAGCCATGAAGGGCAGCTGCACCAGCTCCACCGTCATCCATTGGGGCAGCAAGAGCGTAGCCTACAGCACCATCAGCAGCTCTGTTTGCAGCAGCAGCTTTTACTCCAGCTGCAACAGCATCAGCAGCCGGCCCCTTTGCAACAGCCATCGTACCTCCTGCAGTGTGATCAGCAGCCCCGCTCTCAGCAACACTACCAGCAGCAGTATCAGCAGCAGGTGAGGCAGCAACAGTTGCAGCAGCTGCAGCACATGCAGCAAATACAGCAGCAGCCCGTCGCACAGACACAGCCATGGTGTGGGGCTTTACAACAACCCACCTGGCCAGAAAGTACGTCCACATCAACAACAGCGGGAGTCAGCTCACTGAGGTGCAGCTGTGTGGCATGCCGCAGCAGCAGCGGGCGTAGCAGTTGCTGTTTGAGGGATCTGAAGGCGCGATTGGAAGCGCTGAATCTGGGTGTTGATCCCACGGAGCTCAAGATTAATTGCAGAATCGGAAGTGGAGCATCAGGGACTGTTTTAAAAGCTACCTGGAGGGGCTGCGACGTGGCAGTCAAGGTGCTGCCAATATTGCGCCAGCAGGCGCTGCCACAGCGGCAGGTGGTGCAACAGAGAGACCACACGCCAGTTGCTGCTGTTGCGGCGGCGGCAGCAGCGCGAGAACTGCAAATAATGAAACGACTCAGGTGCCCTAACCTCGTGCTGCTGATGGGCGCATGTGCGCTGGATGATGATGCTGTCTGCAGCAGGAACAGCCACAGGAGAACAAACGACGGCAGCGCTGCAGAGAACGCAAGCAGCGCTCGAGATCTGCTGGCAACAACTGGGTGCCAGGGTCCAGGTCTAGCAGTGGTGATGGAGCTGTGTGCTGGAGGCAGCTTATTTGGGCTTCTGCACGGAAGGCCTGAAGACGCGCTAGCGGCTGCTGCTGCTTCTCCTTTGAAGCCTGTTGCGGCAGAACCTACAATAGCCGCTCCTGCAGATGCTCCTGGCTCATGCGCGGCAATCATGGGGCTTAATGTTTCCGTGGACAACTCCTTATTTACTACTCGTGACCGTGCGTCCAAAGCAGAGTCTGCAGCTGCACCTGCAACTTTGCCAATACCCGTTGCAACGCATAGAGCTCCCGAGGGATTGAAGCAGCCTGATTCGCGGCAACAGCTGCAGCTGGAACAGCCGCAACATGATATGCAATTGCTGCAACAACCGGAGCCGCAAGAGGAGCAGCAGCCGCACGAGAAGCAGCAACAGCGGCAGCGGCTGACTTGGGCCCAGAAGCTGAAGGTAGCTCTGGACGTTGCTCGGGGCTGCGCCTACCTGCACGCTTCCCAGCCTCCTGTGGTTCATCGCGACCTGAAGAGCCTCAACATTTTACTCGTCGAGAGCATCACCAGCGACAAGCAAACGCCTGTGGCAAAGGTTGGAAAGAGAAGGCACAGTTACATTATTACCTCTTCTACTGTTGATGCTGATATTTGCTGTGCCTCTGCTTTCAACTAACCGGCTGCTCTCTTCAGCCTAGTCACTGTCATTTTTACTTGTATGGCATGCGCCGCCATACGTGTGTTGTTGCTTTGGAGATTCTACCGATACTGCCTCGTTGTTGCTCTCTGCACCCGTAGATTTCCTGCTCTCTGGATGCTGCTGTTGGGGCATCATATCACTGCGAAGAACCAGGGAAGTTGCTAGCCGAGAACTACGCCAAATTCTTGGTTTCTAATTGCCGTTGCGTTTGCTGCTGCTGCTTCTGCCTGCACAGGTTGCGGATTTTGGTCTGAGCCGTTTGGCCACAGCAGCTAGTCGCGGTGACGATTCTGCACCAGGAACTGCAGCAGCGGCCGCAGCATCAACAGGACTTGGCGGCTACTCCTACAGAGATGTTGGGACCTTTGCTATTCGGACCCGTGCAGTTGGGACAGTTCACTGGATGCCTCCAGAAGTCATAAGGGGCCTCCCGCAAGGGCCGGCCGTCGACGTTTTTGCTTTTGGCATTGTTTTGTACGAGCTCGCGGCTGAAACCCTGCCTTACCTCAGGCCTAGAGACGCGTCATCCCATCAGCAACGGCAGCAATGCGAGCATAACCCGCAGGAGGCAGACCGGGAAAATGTGTGGCTGCCACCTCCTTCGGAGATTTGTGCTGCTGTGCTTCGAGGAGAACGCCCTGATGAACGTTTCATTTTGCCACTGTGTCCTCCAATCTTGAGGTAATTAACACCACACAGTCTACAGTTAAATGTCAGGGGCTTACCATCTCCTGTTGACTTTTTAGCTTTCGGAGTCCATTTGTTTGCAGAAGCCTAATGCGCCGCTGTTGGGCCGAAGATCCCTGGGCGCGGCCAACTTTTGCTGAAGTTGTCGAGGAGCTGAAGGCCGCTCTTGAAGCCACATAAGCACTTGCTGCTACTACCACAGAGGTCGGCTCCAGCTGGCAGCTTCACCAGGGGCGGAAGCTCCTTCCGCCGCAGGTTGGGCGGGGCTAGTTAGCCTTGTTGTTCTGAAGGGGTCGCAGTAGCAATGGCGACACCGACGCCCTTAGTGTCAGCAGTTATGACTTTGATGTCACAGCAGCACCGGCAGCTGTTGTTGGTACTGGCATAGCAGCTGCTGCACAGGTTTCACGTATTTTTAGTTTTGGCTGAAGCGACGGGAAAGCGCAGCTTGCTGCATTGTGCATGCGGCCTGGTGCGTTTGAATATGTGTCGCCGGCGCCACTGAGTGTGCACGCAGTGTACTTGTTCGTGCACCCCGGCGTTCAGTATGTAAGAACACTCGATGTCTACTAACTACAGCGCAGCGTATGTTGAGCCCGTGCCACATGGCAGCCGCTCTTTTCTGCAGTGTGGCTATGGAAGAGAACTTGGCTATTCGATTCCTGGGCGGATCAGACTTTCGGATATCGGATTTCAGGTACAGAAGCTGAGATTTTGGCTAAGGCATTCTTGCACAAAGTGGCGGCGCGCGTTGTGGCCTGTACCGGGACAGCGCTGTCTGCATTTCTCACTGATTGGTCAAGGTGCAACTCGTACACAAGACAGCAGCAGAAGGCAACAAAGAGATTTGGAGTGAAGAGGAAGCACACCGCTTTTTTCGGCTCTACTTCTCGTTGTGTTGATGGGATCCTTCCTTATAAAGTGTTATCTTGGTGTGATGTGTACACTTAAAACTGCAAACACAGACTTGTTTTTTTGTCCATCGTCTGCACTGATTGTAGAAAGAAACCGTCTTCTCTACTGGGGCTCTCCGTGTAGCTAGCATGGAACGGGTGCTTCTGGCAGGCAGCAGCACGCACAGACAAGCGCAGCGAGTTGACAGAGACTTGTGTTCCAGCGTGCAAACACCAACACACTCAAGGACAGGCAATGAACGAATTACATGAAGGCAAGCCAACAAAGACAGTGAAAAACGCGGATAGGGCCAGCGGAGGTACGCACACATCTAGAGAGAGGTTCATACAGGTAATGCAGAGAGCTGGCGACAAGCACGACACTTAGGCGCGAAGTCGGCAGAGACACGCCAACGACCAGCTACAACGACAGTCCAAAAGTCAAGAGGTTGAGAAATCATTGCTATTTGGAAACACGCTGAGTGGTGCACAGAAGTACAGACGAATACAGCAAATATAATGAAGCTTCCTAGCACTCCTCACAAGGCCCTGGAGTGTACGCGACATACAAGTATCCCAGTACTACTGAGGAGCCCTTTCTCATGCTGTAACAATCTTGTCGGTGCCCTGCCTGAACTTGAAGACATTGGTGTAGTGCGATTGCCATGCATTGCATGATTCAGCTCAACGTAATAAGGCTCACTTGTAGTCCTGAAGACGCGGCAGGCCCCGCATTTAGGGAGGGCCAGGAGTGCTTCGACCTACACGCACAGAAAGCCGAATCGTTGCTCACTGAACTAAGCCAATGCGTGGATAACTTGCATATAACAAGTATATATTAGGAAGGGACACAGCTCTCTGCAGCGGAAACTCTGGGAAGGCTTTGCCACCAACAGATAACCCTCAGTCTTGCAGACAAGGCACGAAGTAAGCTCGTAACAGCGATGCGCCGTTGCAAAGAATGAGCACAACGGGCCGTTGCTCTTTGTAAAGGCGTTTCCGTCTGCTGTGACCAAACCGAAGGCCAACCATTTACCGAGGACTACCGTTGGTGAAGCTGTTACCTAGAGTGTTTCGATCGCCGCGAGAGGACCTTCTCTGAAGAATATGCTCGGCTTCTAAAATGTTGGAAAAACAACAAAGTCCCTTCAGTTTCTTGTGACGCGCATGGAACATTGCCAAAATTTTGTCACAGCTGGTGGTCTCTTACCGGTTCCGGCGCAGCCGGTGGGATGCTGCAGCTGCCCCAGGGGATAAAGAGTCGGGGCTGAAGTGAAGCATGCCAGTCCAGAGGAACAAAAGCACAAAAGTACAAACGGTTTTAATGACTTTCACCCCTGTTCAGTAGAGGGGACGAATACCTCTCCACCCCGCGAGCCGCACTGAAACAAGCATTCAAGTAGTCGCACATTTATAAGCCGCTGATTTCCCGTGAGGGCAGATACAACATATCAACCTCGCACATGCGGGGAAGCTGTGCAGTCTCCTCAGTGATGAGCGTACGCAACGTGACTCAATCTCCCCCGATGAGTTCGCGGAGCGTCGTACACACGAAGATGCGAGAGGCTGCTTTTACTCTTAAGCGCTCTCATATCTCGTCCAAAAGCAGCCCTATAAGCCACGCCAAGATGCCCTCAACTGCGCAAGCAGTACAGTCTAAAGCAGGGCCTCAGTTTTCCGTCCACCTTTCACTATTTCTGTTTCAGTTTGGAGGTCTGCTACAATGCCTAATCTGACGTTTCGTCACTACATGCTACTGTTTTGTCCCTGGTGTAAATGGTCACTATATGTGTAGCTCAAATGTCCCCACTAGAAGTTGCCCAAGTGCCGCAATGACCTAGGAAACCAAAAAGGGCCTAAAAAAGAAGGTTTTTCCTTGCACAGTGCAGTACAAAGGAGAAGAGAAACCTCTACTGCGCTTGTGTTTCCTAAAAAGCTTCTCCAAGACAGCACAAGTTTGCTTATTCCGCAAATCAACAAAATGTGCTCTCTGGCCTCCCGGCATTTACAAAAGCAAATGCACTTGTGCAGAGACCCTTCCAAAAGGTGCCTAGTTGGGTGCCGCAGTTTCTGCTTTTGGTGCTGCTGCTGCCTTCGGTGCCGTTTCTGCGGTTTCCGTTGCGGTTGCTGCTGCTGCTCCTTCACGCTGTGTGCTGCTTAGTCCCGAATTCTGCTTTGACGGGGCTTCAGGGGAGCCCTGACCTGTCTTGCCCTCAGCAGCCTGAGCGTCAGCGGAAGGGGGCGCATTAGGCTCCTCCAACCACTTCACCCGTACCCCAAGGTTCCATAGAGCTGCAGCAACACACCCATTTGCAGAAGTAGCAGCAGAAACACGCTGGGCGCAAAATGGCAGCGAATATCAGCCCATGCCAAAAGACACTAGATAAGAGCTCAATGAGAGTGCGCAGCTGCTAGCTTTCTCCCCTTTAAGATGGGCGTCCGCATACCCCACTAAAAGTACTCAAAGCATGGTCATACTCATTGCTACAAACACCACTCCCTCTGCCCCTGGCATGCTATCTCCCGGACTACCCAACGACCCCATCGCTTTTCGTTTGCCGCGGCCTATTTATTTACAGCTAAATGTACTTCTTTACCTAATGGAGAAGGCGCTCCTCCTTTCGGTGTATGCCGTCCCTCTCCGTGGGGCAATCCATTTTTAAATTGGCCTTTAAAACAAGAGCCGTCAGGCCACGTCAGGCATCCTTCTCCCTGCATTTTACTGTCAACGAAGTCGCCCTCATATCTGGCCAGCAGTTTCAGCACAAGAAACAGCAACAGCGGAATAAAATACTTTTGTGTCCTTCTGACTCACCCTCGGGCCATTCGTAGAATTACACATCCAAGAGCCTCTGACCAGGTACAAGAGGGACAGATAGTCGAAATGGCAACTAAGCTGGACGCGCTGACGATTTAACCTATGCAGATGCTAACCTTCCTATTAAGTTTACAAACAGAAACGCACACGCGCTCCCAATTTGCAGTTTTATACACAGACACGGACAGGATCCGTACATTAAAGTGGATGCCCACTGAAGGCTGAAGTCACACTTGAAGCTAGTCACGGCTTTTCCCACTCACGCAGATACATGACACAAAAGTTAGTAAATTTCAGCACTATGCTGCCTGCCGCCATAACCTCGAGTTTTGAAAGAAACAGCTATAGGGTTGGAATTCCTCAGGAATAAACAGCTCACCTGCGCCCATCAGTAAAATAAAATGTTCCTTTCCCATGCATTCGGCTTGCGCGCCATTCTCCCTCGTAGGCCCGACCATCTGGCCACGAATACTTCCCAAAGCCTGCAGCCAAAAGGCCGAAAAGCATCAAAAGTGTGACGTTAGAAAAATTAGCAAGATATCTCCAGATCCTACGAGTATAAGCTAACAGGTTATTTCCGCTTCCTTCTATTGCAGCACCTATACACTACAGAGCTAGTCAAAAAGTAGTGGTCGACAAGCAGATGCGCCCCGTAGCAAAATGCTAAAGCTGATAACACTGGCAACAATGGCAGCGACAAATCATCCGAAAGACATTACAACTGATGGAGAGGCTCATCTCTTTTGTGACCGGTGCGCCAGCTGAGGTGCCAACGGACAGCTCTGCTGGTTAAATCTCACTCAACACTGCACGCCAACTTCCGAAGTCTCAATTTACCGTTCACCACAGCCTGCTATTCTGACGTTCCACTGTGACCTCTCACCACTCATCTCGCCCTGCTGAAACTGTCCCTCGTACACGTCTCCATTGGAAGCTGTCATGATGCCCTTTCCGGATTTTAGTCCATCGGCAAATTGGCCGCGGTACTTCGAGCCGTCAGCAAGCGTTTCGCAGCCTTCTCCATCTCGCTTGTCTTGCTTCCAATGGCCTACGTACCTTCACCGTTTAAAAAAAGTGCACCAACTGTAGCTGCTTACTAGCCGGCATGGCATAAGATTTCCAAGACGCGTGTGCATGCGCAAGGTCTCAAGCGTCTGTCGCACAGCTATGTATGCAAGTGCATTCGTGCAAAAGCGGGTGCTAGTATTCATCTACGTGGACGCCCTTGTAGGCAGGTGCACAAAAAAAGCACGCCGTCTGCGTATAAAAATACTTGCACATATACATGTGCACGTTGCTGCAAGTATGAGAACCGCAACCGTCATACGATCAGACACGGAACCTACGTAAAATGCACCAGCCAACGCAGACGCAATCGACATGTTCCTCGCCTTCTCATAACGTGTTTCCATTATTTATATTTTGGTGTCACTTGTCGAAGCGTCAGCCAAAGAAAGAAATGCTCAAGAACTTTTGTGCCTTACTTCGAGCCATCGGGAAAAGTGTATACTCCAGGCCTTGTGCGGGTTTCAGCCTTTCCCTTGACGAATTCTCCCTCGTATTTACTGCCATCTGACCTCGTGAGCCGCCCGAACCCATCAATTTGGCCTTGGTTGAACTGGCCAGTGTAAACAACGCCTTGCGCCTGCCGCTGCTCGCCTCTCCCGTGCTGCTTCCCGTTCCTCCACTCTCCCCTGTAAGTCACTCCATTCTTCATTGCCACCTCCTCGCAGTCCTCTGGGATACTCAAGTCTATCCCCTCAAGGGGATCCACGTCCTCAAGCAGGTCAACTTCGCGCTCTGGCTGAGCAGCGGCAGGCTGGGCCAAAGCAGAACTCCCGTTGGCATCTGGGACAGCAACAGACTCATCATGTACGGAATTTTGAGCTTCTTCCTCTCCTCCTTCATTTTTTGGTTTTTCAATGCTCGGTTTTGATGCAGGCGACTGGGGGCGGGCGGCCGCAGCGGCCTTGCTCCCTGAACATCCCATTTATGCGGAGACTTTCAGACTGAATTAACTGCGGAATACGAAGCGTTGACAGCTATTCGATGAAGGAGATGCAGGAGAGGGGAGGCGGGAACGAGTTGTGGACAGAATACTTGTAGACAGCGGAACCCCCTCCCTCTTCTCTGTTTGCAGCTGAAAGGGCCACCGAAAATGAGCAGGCCCAAAAGTGCCTCATTAATGACTACGAGTACCTAAAAGAAACATAAATCTAAGTTGAAGTAACGGAATTTTTTTGCGCCTATTTCTTCCTCAAATTCGCGTGCTGTTGCAGCGCTGCAGAGCGAGTCCAGTGGCAGCTGTTGCTCCTCCCTGTGTTCAACATAGCTCGAAAACAGGGAGCCTTCACACCTGAGAAAATCTTTTCCCGTACAATGTTAAATGCAATATTAAAGCCCCTTAAGAATGCAGCACTTTGGCAGAGTAGTCAACTCATGTGCCTGTACATGTTCGGCTTGACCATCAATACTGGCTTTGAGCATTCGGGGCTGAAGGTGATCTTCAGTCAGGGACACAATGAAAATTTGGGAGGCTCCCAGGAAAACTGGGTTATAAGCCTGTTCAAACGAGCAGTGCAGCCGCTCCTCTCAATGTTTCCCTCATTCTGTGGCTTCCATAGTGGCAACCCACGAAGTACAACTCCAGAGCGGACTTAATGGATTCGCTGGAATTCCAGTCAAACAGAAAGGCACGCAGCTGCAGTAAAATTGAAATGTTCGATCACATAATCAGAGCTTCAAGAATCACATGTACTCCTCCTCTTCCTATAGAAGCCGACCACTGCCAGATACTCTCACCGCATATTGCGGTCATTGGGAGCTTGATGGCAGTACTGGGCGATCACCCCATAACGCGTCCCCACTGAGCTAGCTGAATTAAACTACAATGAGTCTAGACGAAAATATGTTTGGTTAAAGTTCCCGCCGGCCTCCACATGACGACAGCAACGTTATGACAGCGGCAGGAGCCATCCTACACTACACTTCTGCAGTTCTGGACTATCGGCCCCATAAAGTGTCTAGGAAAGGCCTTCAGAACTTATCCAATCACGTACAGCCGAAGCATTCCAAAATGCTGAAGCGGCACGCTTGAACGCTATCTGCACTCAAGTTACTCTCCTCATCACAAGTTGTTCAACAAGACATTGGTTAAGCTGCAAATGCAGCAGCTCCATAAGGCGTAAATGTGTAAATGACTTCAGTGAGATGCAAAAGCACTCCGCTTGACCAGAAGGGCGGCTGCAAACGGAGGAGATGAATCACTTCGTCTGCTCGCCTGTTCCGTGTCCCGTAGGCGGCTTCTCAAGTAACGGGCGACTGTGCGCGCACATGCGGCATTGCTCCATATTTTTACAGTTCGGCAATTTTCCCCAGGCACTTTGCCGTTTCGCCGTACATCGTTTAGGGACAGCCCTTTGGAGGGATAAAGACCAGAACAGTGGGCTTTCCATCACATAGGTGGTATGTTCGGAGCTAGAACGGCACTGGGAAAACCGCTGGAACACCGTTGCTTGAACAGCAGCAAGCATAGTGCTGTTATTAGGGGGAAAATGCATATCCCAATATTCACATTACAAACACCCGACGAGAGACACGCTTGTGTGCCTCAGGAGCAGCACTTCCTCCGTCCCGAGATTTGCTGCGGAGAAAGCAGCAACAGCACAAAGCCGCAAATCACTCCATAATCTACGTAGCTTGTTTTCGAATCGCGTTAATTTATTTCTGCCTGACCAATGCCGCATTCCGCACTTTGCCAAAAGGGCGCAAAGGATGCCAAATGTCTACGACAAATGCCGGCCATCGTTGCATCTACCCAAGACATCTCTATAGTGAACAAACGTCGCCTTCACAATCTGGTGCGGTGCTATTTATGGCAATATCACATAACCTAGCATGATATTTCTGAGTTCATAGCAAAAAGCAAACGCGAAGGCATAGAGGCACCGGAATACAGGGACGAAACTCTCGTTCGCAGCGTAAGCTTACCCGTGACACCACGACCTGATTATACAGCTGCTGTGAAGATGCTGCAGGATTTTGCTCCCCCGCAGACTCTACTGGGCCAGGCGAGAAGCTGCAGACACAAGGGAGACAAGCCAATTCTAAAACGCGATGCATCGCAGTATAGGCGACCCCAGGCGAGCCGTGCAGCTACTACTTCCAGCAGCAACATCTCGGCTACTAAAAATACCATAGTAGTCTCCCGCTCCACTCGCTGATGTGAAGGCGACAGGAATATTTGGCTGTAGTGGAAATGGACCTACCGGATATCTCTTATTCTATTCGCCGCGCACCTGAGATTCAGAAGAACACTGTACTCAACGTCGCAGTCTCGCAGGGAAAAAATATCCAAAGGGAGCAAATTCAAGAGCTACTGCAGGAGCTATGCGACCTTTTCTGTTTAGGTAGATACTACCGTTAAGAGGGCTAGACGCAGGGCAGGAAAATTAGGCATACATGAATGCTTCTTCAACGTTGACGTTGCCTTTAGCGGACGTCTCAATGAAGGGGATGGAATACTCGCGTGCCAAATCCTCCCCCTTGGACCGAGACACCTGCTAAACAGCCCAAGATGTGGTCGCACGAAGTAAGGCAAGTCCACATTCAGTGAAGGACGTTCAGCTCTCCATGAGATTATTGAGGGCAGCCGTGAGCTTGCTTGCGTTCACCACCGTTGTGTTTTGTCGTGAACATAGACGTGCAATCCGTGTACATTTATTTAAGTGCATTTTATTGCATAATTGGACTCTCAAGTTGAAAGATTGAAATCCATCAGCATCAACTGTTCTTTTCTGAGGAGATATGATTGCTCTCACCCTCTGGGCCTGCAGGTCGAGCTTGTTGGCAATTAGGACACGCACGATACTGGGATCTGCGTATTCCTCCACATTTTGCATCCAGCGACGGATATCTGCATGGCGTCAGAAGTAAGCAAGCACGAAACAATGCTATGCAGCAAGTCGAGAAATACCGTTTCCGCGTGGCACAGCGCACTTGCAAAGCAAGCACAGGAAACGCTTGACTTTAGCCGCAGAGACGTCCAGCAGCCAATAATACATCCACGCTTTGCAGTGAACTGCAGTAATCAACCAGAAAACGTACTGTGAAAAGTCTGGATGTTCGTTATGTCGTACACCAGCATGACCCCCATGGCGCTCCTGAAGTATGCTGAGAAAAGCCACTGACATCAGAAAAGGCCTCATGTGAAGCACTTCACATATTCCCAAATGCCATTCAGTGCAGTATGAAAAGGCAAACCGATTTAGAGCAGCATTAAGAGTGGCAATAATGCATCATTGTCTACGCAGTGTGGTTTTATATATGACGCGCAGCTATTTCTACTACATTCCACAAATCGCTGCGCTTTTCACTCTATTGAGCAGAAGCTGCTCGCATATTCTATGAAAGCAACACCGTGCATCACTCAACACTCTTACCAGGCGTGATAGTACGGAAGCGCTCTTGGCCGGCTGTATCCCAGACTTGTATCTTTATGCGCCGCCCACCACATTCAACGACTTTCGTTTTGAAGTCGACGCTGAACCCCAACCACAGCATAGTAGTGTCCAGTTCTCAACAATAATTAGTCTCTAACTGTTTTCCTATTTGTAATCCACTTGCTCAGACTTCACTGAACTCCAGACGAAAAGCTAACGAGTTCGTGCTCCGTGCAAGCTGGAGCGAAGATGTCTCTCTCACCCGATGGTCAGCACGAAATTTGGGTCGAATTTATTTTCTGCAAAGCGCAGAAGAAGGCTCGACTTTCCAACAGCTGCAGACAGCACATGTCCAGGCAAAACAATTCCAAAAATGAAGCACTACACCCCTGGACTGTGCAGCCAACGCGGCGTTCTCACGGGTTTATCGTTTCCGACATAAGGTAAACTCACAACTATCGCCGAGGACCAAAAGTTTAACAAGGTGATCGAAGGGCTCTGCCTTCTCCCTTCTCCCTCCGCGGTAGGTCATCTCGCCCGTTTAGGGGTAGGAGCCAAGCCTGTCGAAGTGGGCAGCAACGAGTCAGCACATCCCTGTCGGCCGTTGCCGGGCTGAGCACCTAACAAACTCCCTCAACTTCCTGGCTCTTCTTGAAGCTCACTTTAACAAGTACCTACACATGCGCGCTTCGCTAGAAGCGGTGTTCTGTAATGGCGCAAAGGCAATCGTGCCCTGAGGATCCCAATACCTCAACAACCCACCTCCCCATGCCGCAACTCCACCCATACGCCGCTGTCTCAGTATAAATTACTATGCTTCTGCACAAAAAAACAAAGATCTCGAATTTCCAAGATTTTCGCCGCTGTGAAGCGGCTTTGCACTCTAGCGATGACGTTTCAACAGCTTCAGCTCACTGGGAAGTCTGAGATTGTGGAAGACTGAATCGGACTCATCGCCCTGCGGAAAGGCTCAGTGGCTCGGTCTTCACCACCCCTTCAGGCTAGTGGCTCCCCTTGTGGGGGCCCTTTCGGCCTCGGGAGCCGCCACCTGCAATTGGCAGTTCTTATTGGTGGGGGGTAGTCTGCGCGAGGAGTATGGGCGCGAAAGAAAAAGCCAAGTGACTTCGGCTTTTTACGCTAGCAGGAAGGTGTCGGTTTAGCCTTTAGGTGTACAACTAGCACTTCCGCCGAGTTGGTGTATCTACAGCCCATGCACGCGCGCGGAAAGTTGGCCCCAAATGAGGCAATGAAACAATGTTGAAACAATTCCAATCAGAAAATGGGATAGACCAAGACTCTTATTTACAAAATAGCACGTACTGTTAATTCTGTTCCTCCTTCATGCGCAAAGAAGGAAAGAAACACACGTGAAACCATAGCAGAGGGGCGTGAAGAGCAGCTAACTTGTCCTAGACGAGCAAACAAGACAAGGACAAAATTAATTGATAGAGGCAAAAAAACCGCCTGCATATCAAGCTCAAATAAGATTTTCAAAGCGCAAATGAAGGGCATCGCTCGCTGTAATTTACAGGCTTCCCACAGCCGACTGTGCGAGAGCCGCCGTGTGTTTTAGGGGCTGGAATGGGGCCCCTAACGTCAAAGCCTTTCGAAATCTGCAGTTATACCCCTACCACTTCTTTTTTGTATTACCTTGAAAGCACTACATAGCAGGCATGTAGATGTGGACTAGTCCTCTGGTGGGCCCTGCATATGAAGGCAGAGAGTGTTCATAGGCTTAGGGGCGGATTCGGGGGGCGTTATTGCTGTGCTCAGGCATTCCTTGTAGCATTGTGATCGCGTCTCAAATGTGCACTTACTGCAAGATATAAGTATACCAACAACAGCGGGCAAGACTGAATCGATAGAAGCTGAAAAAGTATGGAATGCGCCCAAGGGACAAGGCTCATGAATGGAGCACTCTGCTGTGTTTACTGGTACATGGAAACACACTCTGCGGCGGTGCAGTGGAACTTTTTGGTGTGCTGAGAAAACTTCACATTGAGGAGATTTTTGCCTGATGTCATTGTAAGCTCCAAGGATGGCTATGTGATTCTATGCACTGTCATGGAGGGCGAAAGTCATCTTGGAGAGACTCAGCGAACTCATTCATGGCGCTGATCACGCAAGTGTACTTCTGAAGTGGTTTTAGGGCGGCTAGAGCCGCGGAGCTCTGCAGCCTAGCTGGGGTTAGGGGCCTGGAGCAACCCTCTAGGTAGGTGAATACCCTACGCAGGCCGTGTGGTGGAGCATTGCGAGGCATTACCTTACGACATGGCATGCTTTCGAAGCTCCCATTTTTCCGACCCACATTTTTGCCTTGTTCAAGGGTTCTTTATGGATACTGGAGATATCAAGAGGGCCTTTCTGTTAGGCTGCACAGTGCTACGTAGTCCGTAGATCCCAAGACCCTGCGCACCAATTGGGAGCTGCTTCATATTAATTTGAGCCTCTACACAACTTACATTTACTGCTGTAAGCTCGCATGCACACTTCCATTGACGTGGGAAAGCTCGTGTCCTCGAAGTAGCCTATATGCGTTCGACCTAGGAGCCTCATGGGAGTACCCGGACAGTTTTCATAGAATTTGGCAAAACAGAGACTATCAAAACACGTCTAAAGTCTAATGAAGTAGAAAAATTGAGGAGCGAAATGAAGGAGCCGCTGCAACTAGATAGGGGAGGGGATTACTCGCCTGCATCACCGGTCGCCCAGGGCGCCGGCAAGGCTGCGGACCAGATGCATGTCATTCAAAAGTTATCCAGAGGCAGAATCCTATGGGGTCTATTGAAGCGTTAGTGTTTGTTGAGGACACTTTTCAGTTTCTTTGCTAGCGCCAACGCCCAAGGAGGCTAGGATCATGGCCACCCTTCTTGGTGTCGTGATGATCCGTTTCGTTTGAATAGGCTCAGACCCCCTGCCGATGCGGCAATGAGCTGATTAGTTGCCTTAAAAACTTTGCTTCATTGCACTGGGAATGTCTTGAGGATAGTGCAGGTATGGTTGTATAAGAGCTACAGAGCCAATGACGCCATAATCGATTCTCTGTCCGTCAACGAGATGCCAAAACTGCTGGGCAAAAGCGAGCAAAGCGGACGTCGCAAAAAGCACACCACGAAGTTTGAAGCCCTAACGAAACTTCTGCCATGCGAAAGTTCCTGGGGACTTAGGTATTTCAATGACAAATGGGATAACGGTGAAGCAGTCTGAAGGTGTGATTGTAGAAGTAGGCAACGAAACCCTGGCCCGCACCGGCGCACCCCTGTATATCGAGACATAGCGGTGAGTTGAGGACTACCACGACGTCCAGGGCTTCGGAAAAAGCATGGAGAAAGCACGCCACGGCGAGTCGTGGGACCGCGGTGATTTAAATGGTTCGAGCGCAAGGCACCAACGTGATATGGATGTAGCCAGGATACTCAAAGGGAAGTTCAAGGGATGTGATAAAGTAGGAGACATTGCCACAAACTGCTCTATTTCTGACAGGCTATGAGCGGGGCCAAGGAATAGCAAAAGGCCTTTTCCGGCTGCATCTGGAGAGAGTGCTCGCAAACATTTGTACGCATGAACCTAGTCATTTCCGGATATGAGTGAAATGGGCTGCAGATATGGAATCACGACAGAAGGAGGAACCTGAAACTAAGAAACGGATAAGGTTAACCAACTGAGGCTGCGGTGGGAACTTCTTGATAGCAAAAAGGTGCAACGAGGCGCCAGAGTGTGAAGTAGGAGGCCTAGTAGGCTAAATGTGGGATATTCCATCACTACAAGAGAGCTCGCTTGTATATGCAGATTGTGCAGCACCGCAGCGATGAAGCGAGGACTTGCATGCAAACCAGGCCAGCAATTGTCCCGGCTTGCTGTGTAGCATGCATACGAAGTGAATTACCCAACTTGGTGTTGCTGTGGTTTTGCTGGACGCATATATGGAGCCCTCTTGGGTAGTAATGCCCCGTTTAGGTGCGTTAGACCATTGGCTGTAAAGTGGCCGCACCTCAGAGTGCTGCAGCTTCCTGAAGATTGTGTGTTCACTCTGGCTAGAGGCCAGGTTGTTGCCGGGTCGTTAATGGGCTGCCGGCATGCTGCGGCAGCGACAGTGGCCTATAGGACAGCGCACGCCATGCCGGAGCAGCCTTCAATATTAGAAAGAG